CCATTTTCCACACATCCGTAATTGTGGCTCTCAAAGCCAGTTCAAGCGAAGCTATCCATGAATGATGCAAGGAAAATCAGCAACCTTTTTTCAGACATCTTTAGGTAATTGTTTTATAAAGAAGTACAACTAGATCGCCATTATTTTTCTTAGAATTTAATAACTATAGAGTTTTCTGTACCAGGTATCGTATATCTTAACGTAGCGCGACATGGTGCAAGGTGGTCATCAGATGGTGTACAGTCAAAAGTCAGGCGTACTCTGAACCCAACAAGTGGCCGAAACACTGGCATAGATGACACCCTCGACTCATTCAACTCGTTTTCGATTAGGAAAGAGATTGAGAATCATTGGTTGGCATTGCAGCTCTCCGCAGCGAAGCTTTGCATTGAGTTGCACTGGGCGAAAGCTTTAGCAACTACCACTCATAATTCTATTAAGATCAGTCATCTGGGAGGCGTGAATCAGTTCGAATTAAGCTATACTGGCACTATGTTTGGCGTCACATTGATCGGCCTCATGGGGCTGTTGGTCTTATCACGTAAGTCAGGGAAAAACCCTGCCCCTCAAGTGAAACCTAACTGATCTGAGCTCACAGCAATCCAGGCGCAGCAGCAGCAGCAGCCTTGTGGGAGACTGAGGCAATATCAGCTGTACAATAGCAGGGAAATTACCGATCCGGATGAGTACCCGTGGCTGGGACGTATAGGCTACAGCTCCAACGAGTCAGGGGCAGACCCCAAGGAATACAGATACCTCTGCCTCGCCGTGCTCCTCAGCGAGCGCCACGCGATCCTCCCGGCCCACTGCATAGGGGAACATTCGGCTATGGAGCCCACGACAATACTTTTCGGTGACTGGAGGTCCAACCAGGCCACCCACGAGGGAGACTGCCTTACGGCGGACAGCTGCGCACCCCCGCCGGAGTCGTACACGATCCTGGAGCTGGCCATTCATCCGCAGTACGACCGGATTCGGCACGACCACGACATCGCCCTGGCCAAGCTGGATCGGAACGTACGCTTCGGGGACTTTGTGCAGCCCATCTGCCTGCCGCCCGACCACGAGGTCGAGGGCAACCACATTGGCCAGCGGCTGGAGATGGTGGGCTTCCTCCGCACCACTGGCACGGAGGGCAGCTGGCGCTGGAAACGCCAGGTGCACACCCTCGGCTCGAAGTACTGCTCGACCCATCCGGGCTTTGCCGGGTTCAACCAAAGCTCGAATCACATCTGCGGCTTGATCTCTAGCACTGACGCCATTATGTCTGGCTCCCCGATGATGGGCGTCAACGTGGTCGATGGGAATCCGGACAGCTTCTATCTCATAGCGACCGCCACTTTTGGAGTGTCACGAAAACGCGAGATCGTTCCAGATGGCTTTATGCGTATTTACCCGTTCAGGGAGTGGATCGTTAGAAATATGGTGTAAGGACGAGCAAAATCTTAGTCTGTATCTCTCAGATCTAATCTAACAATAAACCGGTGTAAGAAGAACTCAGCTCAAGCTCGCTTACACTCCATAAGCTCCATGGGAATATAACTAAAGCCCCAACAGACAGCCCCATAAATATGTAATTCCAAGAAATATTAGACATGGTGACCCCGACCAGCGGGTAGCCTCCGGCTCCGGCCAGGTGCGCCTCAAGTTCTTTAGTAATAAATCAGATCCGATAGACAATTTGGGGAAATTTATTCGCCCAACTCTTCGCATTTGTCTTTGGCATTCGCCATATCCTTGATAAATCAAAACTTGTCTTGCCATAAATAAGAGAATGGCTAATAATTACAGTGGCTCCGTCCCGATTGGGGCAGGGGGTGACGCCCACACTTGGTTCCTTTTGCTTTCCACACCCACCCTTCCTTCTAGCAGGAGAAATGTAAATGAGTCTCCAGCGACTAATAAATTCCCAATTACACATCGACTTGGCCGCTGCCGGTGCCGGGCCGGGCCGGGCCTAGGTCCGAGCACGGACATCAGGTCCACTCATAAAACTATGCAGGCACACCCTCGCACCCGGGGTGCCTTCGCCAGCAATAAACTAAAAAGCATAAATTTCTGAAAACGACAAATTCATGTAGTCCCGCTCGAAGGGGGGGTTGGGGGAGGGTCGAAACGGAATGGAAAATCAAATGGAAAACACGGAAAATCACAATTACTTGCGCACATATTGCGCCCGGTCGAAAGGTGGAGGAAGGGATGCTTGCAGCAGGGTCGATGTCCAATTACGGGTATCGATGATGATGGAAGCAAATGCAAACATCTGTGACCCCGCCGGAGATGCGTGACTGCCCTCCGGCACTAGCATTTGTTCCGAGCTCGGAGGTCAAGTGTAGAAGATTGATATCACCCGATTTCGGATGACCCGTGGAGAACTGCAACAGCAAGCCATTAGCAGACTGAACGGAAGTCAATGAAGTGGCCAAGAGAAGAGAATGGATGGGAATTTGCAGCTCAACATATGAAAATGGAATCGGATAATGTAAGAGCAAACTTATTCCCATTTTCAGGTATTTAATATACTACATTTATACCCGATACTTGGTACTGGTATAGGACATAGGATCTCAAATTATATGCATCCGCTAAAATGTGGCATTAGAGAAAACACTTACCCATAATCTTTCTCTTCGTTTCTCATATTCTCGATTCAAACGATACTCCTGAATGATGATTCCACGACTCCGATGTAACGACAAAACTGCACCGCAACTGCAAACAAAAGAAAAAATGATGTCCAATAAGATCACAAATTTACGCATTCATTTATTAATATAAGGTGAAGCACTAGAGAGACAAAAGAGAGTCAGATCAGCGGTACTAGGAAAGCCTCACCCTTTCATGAAACTTCACTTGGAACGAGAACACGCATTCCTTTTCGATTCTCTTCTTCACTGCACTATTCCCTCATGGAGTGGAAAAGGGACAAAACTTGACGACTTTTCAAGCACGCACACCCACACACATAGCTGGAACTCATGTGATCAAACGAAAAAAAAGAACAAGCCAACGAAACAAAACATTTTAGATTTTGACACATGAAAAAAATTAATGCAAAAATAATATGATTTTCTACATATATAGCGCAAATTTGACATAAATATAACAAATTTCCGCACTTTTCTTTTGTTGAGCTGCATTTTTGTCGCCATTCTGCCTTTTTCGTTGCCCCCGCCCCTGATCGAACACTTTTTCTTGCAATAAAAACACATTTTCTTGCATTATAACACTTTTCTTGTACACCACACATCACTACACACCTGCGCGGCATTTTTCCCGTTGGATTTTTCACCATTTTCCGGATTTTCACGAATTAAAACGCGGAGCTCACTTACGAACGCACGCTTTGAGCGGGAAAAATTTGTAAGTGAGAGCGCTGCAAATGCGTTCTTTCTTTGGTCTCCTGCTCCTCTTCCTATTTGCTCTCTCTCCCACGCACACTTCAGCTACTTTTGCGAAAACGAGACGAAAAAAACGGGAGACAACGGAAAAATAACACATTTTAGATTTGCCACATAAAAAAAGGGAATTATGCAAATAAATATAATTTTCTTCACGTATGTATGTATGTACATACATACATATGTACATATATATCACACACTTTACACAACTATAACATATTGCCGCCCTTTTCCTTCGTCGAGCTGCATTTATGCCGCCTTTTGACTCTTGTGCGCTAAAACACACTTTTTTATATAATCACTGCATCACTACACTAAACATCACTCCACACACCTGCGCGACATTTTTCCCGTTGGATTTTCCACCATTTTCCCGATTTTCCCGAATTAAAACGCTGAGCTGACTTACAAACGCACGCTTTGGCCGGTGAAAAAATTTTAATGGGAGCGCTGCAAATGCGTTCATTCTATGCTCTCCCTCTCCTCTTCATAATTGTTCTCACTCCCACACACACTTCACCAACTTTTGCTCGTGATGAATTTTTACAAGGTGGTATGCTAACTCTCTTTCGCTTTGACAGCGCTTTGACGCTTTGAGCAAAATAAGACAAAAAAGAGAGCACGATGCTACCCTCGGACTCTTGGACCACCTTGTATAATACTGCAATCAAAAAATTGTGGGAGTGGGAGTGGGAGTAAGATTGAGTGACTGGTGGGAGAGTTACAGTGCGCGGTGTAGGTGCATCGCATAATGAAATTAGCGAATATAAACAAATTATTTGATATCTCTCACTAAAATTATTTAATTGATTGAAAGAGAGCTTTGCAGTAGCAGAGTTTGAAGACAAGGGGTAGAGTTAAGCATAAGCAAAATTACTCGAGAGCGCGTTGGAGTGAGAGCAAATTGGAAGAGGAGAAGGAGAGCATAGAATGAGCGCATATAGAGCGCTCTCACTTTCATTTTTGTCCCGCTCGACGTGCGTTTGTAAGTCAGATCCGCGTTTAAATTCGGGAAAATGGTGGAAAAATCGACGGGAAAAATGTCGAGCAGGTGTGTAGTGAAGTTTGGTGTGCAAAAAAGGTTGTTTAGTGCAAGAAAATGTGTGTTTAAAGCAACAAAAAAGTTTTTGATCAAGGGTGGGGGTGTAGAAAAAGTAAAATGGCAGCAAAAATTCAGCTCGACGAAGGCAAAAGGGCGGCAATGTGTGATATTTTTAGGTAAAATTTAGCGAAACATATTATTTTTGTATAAATTCATTTTTTGTATGTGCCAAAATCTAAAATGTTTTATTGCTTCCTTGCCTCGTTTTTTTCGTTTGATCACGTGAGTTCCAGCTACATACATACATACATATGTATGTGTGCGTGCTTGAAAATTCGTCAAGTTTTGTCCCTTTCCCACTCCATGATGCAAAAGTGAAGAAGAGAATCGAAACTGAATGCGTGCTCTCGTTCCAAGTGAAGTTACTTGGAAGGGTGAGGCAATCCGCAGTGCTGCTGATCTGTTTCTCTCTTGTTTAGTCTGTCCACACGAACCTCCGCCCTCTTGTGCCTCACCTTAAATTAATAAGCATAATATTTGTGCTCTAATTGAAAATAGTTTTGTTTTTTTGGTATATCAATTTCAACTAAAATCTGGCATTATAAAATATAATTTAAACATTTCTGACAACGAATAATTTAAAATGGAAATCAAACGAAACTAAACAAAGTACATGGGGTTCTTGCTGGACAGGGCCGGGTCGATCAACCGCTTCTTGTACTCCTGTTGGGGGGAGGCGAAGGTCGTGGTGCCAGTGAGGTACACGCGTCCGCGAGCGGCGGCCAGGTGGGCCAGGTAGGCCGGGGCCGGGTAGGAGACGGCCCGGTTGCAGCGGGGAAACAGGTGGCACAGGTTGTGGGTCATCTGCTGGAGGAGGTCGATGTCCAGGCGGCCCGTGTTCTCGATCACGTTGTAGCGAGTGGGCCTGGCCGTGCCCTTGATGGACTGGTGGCTGACCATGAACCACTGCACCTCGTTGGGATGCACTATGGTGCGGTCCACGACGGTCCCCGGCTCCACGTTGTTGAACTTGTTGGACTCCGAGGGGCAGCCGCTCGGGAAGAAGCGCGTGTGGTGCCGTTTGACGACTATAATGCAGCAGATTTTCGGCTTGATTCCAATCTGTGGAGAGAACGGTCTGGGATCAGCAGAGGGAGCAGTGGATGGGGGGATCCACTCACCTTGGCGCAGGCCACGGACATCCCTCGCAGCTCCTCGTTCCTGATCTTCGGGAACTGGCCGTCGCTGACCCCGTCGCGGTAGTACATGATGTGCTCCGGATAGCACTGGCGGTACCTGCGGTAGACGCGCAGGTGCTCGGTCAGGATGGACTCCATGTCCTCGATCTCCTCGAGGGCCCCGCGCTGCAGGCGGTACTGCATGTTGTAGGACGCCCCGAAGGCGTCGTGGGACGCGGCCACGCCCACGACACTGGGAATCTCCCGCTGCTCCGGCGTGGGGTGCGTGACGTCGGCCCCCACGAACATCACGTTCTTGGGCAGCGCGGCCGTGTCGGCCTTCAGCGTGTGGTTGATGCCGTTCAGCTTGGAGTTCATCTTCAGCAGCAGGTTCCCCACCATCTGGCCGTTGCACCTCCGCTCGACGGTCGCCTGCTTGATGCACTGCGTCAGGATTCCGTACTCCAGCTCCGCCTTCTGCTTGAGCTTGTCGTAGAAGTTCCCGGAATTCGGGATCACCACAAGCACCAGGTCGTATTGACCCGCCTTGAACTCCTTGAAGCTTGGGTCCAGGCTCTTGGCGTCCGTGTACGTCCGTATCTCTGCCTTGGGGGCCAGGGACATGTTGACACGCCCACTGTGGCTAAGGACCTGCAAGGAGGGGGAATCGTAACAGAGATCCTCTCGGGAGGGCACTCCCCACTCACAAACTGCTCGAAGTCCCGCATCTTGTTGTAGTTCAGGCCTGGGTGGAGGATGGCCCACTTGTGGGCCTTCGGCCTCGAGTCGAAGAACTGCGACCTGTCGATGTGCCACAAGCCGTTCCTCACACTGGCCGAGGCCTTGTTCCGGTACTGGATCAGGGGGGGGTCGAGGACGCGCGTCTGCACCACGATGAAGTCCGTGTTGAGGCGAAAGCCGAACCGCGAGATGGTGGGGTCCGCGTTGTAGTCGAAGTGCCGCAGCAGCTCCAGGATCTTGACCTTGCGCGCGTTCGTCGAGGTGGCTGCAATGTCCACGATGCCCGCCGACTGCACCTTGGAGTCCTTCCGCTGCAAAGGGAGCAATCAGAACAGGGAGCGTGGAGCATGGAGTGGGGTGGGTGGAGGTGGACTCACGTTCAGAGCCTGCTTCTCCTCGATGCGGCACAGCTCAATGGGCAGATAGACGGACGTCTGCGGCGATCCGACGTGCAGGCAGAGGAGGTTGGGGAACCGCAGAGCGTGGCCTCGACTCTTGAAGTAGGCCGCTACCGTCACCTTCGTCCCATCACAGTTGAACGCCTGCCTGCTGGCCGGGTACTGGGTCAGCGCATTGACCTTGTAGACCCTCGTGGCGCTGAGGAAGGACTTCGGCGGCTCGTAGGCCACCGAGATGCCCTTGAGGTGCGCATCGATATCCGAGCGCCGGCTCTCGAGGTTCGTCTGGGCTGTGATCTTGCTCTTCATCTGGAAGCGCTCCAGGTACTCGACGACCGGCATCGCCAGGTGGAAGCACTTGTGCGTTATGTCCACGTTCACGAACGGCCGATCGCCGAGCACCAGCGCCTGGAACAGCCCGAACAGAACCTCCTCTCCGTTCTCCAGGCTGTGGACCTTCCCCGGCTCGGATAGCTGGTAGAAACTCCGCCCCGAGCGCACCGCCTTGTTGTGGCACGGCGCGGCCAGCACCACCTCCAGGCACTGCAGCGCCCGCATGGGCTTCTCGTATATCCTGTCGCGCATGTAGGTGCGCAGGGAGTTCAGGTCCACCTCCGGGTCCGCGGTCTCCATAATCGCCACGGCGTACTTCAGCTTCCTGCCGTACGGATCGCTGACGGTTACCTCCGCGCCCTGGGACCGGCAGTTGAGCTTCTCCACGGAGTAGCAGGAGGCCCGTCCATCGAAGGCCGCCACCGCACCTCCCAAATGCTCCACGCGGAACTTGTCGAACGCCAGCCGGAAGAACTTCTTCGGCAGCTCCGGCACGAACTTCACATCGTAGTGGTATGCCACCGCCGGCATCCTGTCCAGATTCACCTGCAGGTAGTTCACAGCCACCTCGCCCAGGCGGCCCAAAGTGCCGCGCTTGAGGCCCTGGACACGGGGTCCGTCCCCTTGTCCCCGCTCCGGCTCGGGCACTTGATCACTCTTCAGGACCTCGGCGGCCGCGCCGGGCTCGGCAACTGGCTTCTTCTTTTTGTAGTTCTTGCTTTTGGCCATTCCGACGTTTGCTTCTGCTTCGAAAGGGTTAATATATATTTATTTACTTACCTGTGTGTCGCTGAATGTCTCCAGACGACTGAAAATTTGCTGTATTTCAGGATAGGATGTGTGGAGTATGTATTTTTCTCGGTTGCTATGTGCTCTAGGTTTCACAAGTAAAAAATAGGGAAGGTGTTTCGTTTTATATAGGGCGGACTTACACACCTTCACCAGCTGATCCACTGCCACAGTAGCGACTTGCTCACACGCACTTCTTCGTTATCTCGTTTGGTTCGTTCGTCTGTTCTTTCTTGTTTAAGATAATTTATAAGTTTTAATAAGCAAGTGAAAATTATATCTTAGAGATATGTATTTAATGAAACTCGAACTAAGACCCTAGAAAAGAACCCGTGCTATGCCACCATCGATATCGAACCATAGAACCACAGACATCACTCTCGATATTTTCAGTTGGTCCGGGGGTTGGGGGCTCCCTTTTGACTGGGGGGTAATACCAGTGGCCGATATCTGATCAGATAAATTAGCTGTGACCGGAATAATTGGGAAAGATTTGTGGCAAATTCAATGAGCCCAGATGTACCAGATAGAACAGATACACCAGATAGACCAAAAGATATGCTGAGTGATTCCGAGTAATAAATCAATAAATTACCCCGGTCTTACGCCAATCTTACGCCATGCAAAACTGTTTGGGGCCGGGCCGGACCGGGCCGGGAATCCGGCACAAGATCCGCGGATAGTCCGAAAGCGAAAACCGCGATATCCAGATATAGATGTATAAATCGGAGCAGAGGCTGATATTAAGTTATACGCGACTAATCCCCCTCCCCACTCCCTCCTTCCCCCCTCCCCACTCCCTCCACCCACCGCCGTTCATTTATTCAACGAAAGCCTAAAATTGCGCCACACAGCGCTATTCATATATTCAAAAAAAGATTTATCATAAAGTCTGGCGCGAGACACCCCCACCTCCCACTCCCAGTGCCCCTCCCTGGCCCCCCACCAACCATATACCGCACTCCATATATTATCGGGCGGGAATATGTGCGTAAATTTCGTTGCACTCATGCCTCTCCTCCCCTCTCTCTCCCCTCTCTTCTCTCTTGTATCTTCCGCAGGGTCCAGTCCATGAGCAGCACTAGAAATCGCGGCAGCAATCGTGATCAGGAGGTGGAACGCTTCCGATCGAGCGAGGATAATGTGTTCAATATTTCGCAATCGCAATCGCAATCGGGAGAATCTCCTTGCCAAGGAGCTGGATGCGGACAGCAACAACAATAGCGGGATCGAGCCCGAACCCGAGACGGAGTTGGAGTTGGAGTTCCCTTTTTCGAGGGCTTTTTTCTAGCAGATCCCGTGGTTTTACTTTGGATTCAAAATATCAGGAAACAGAATTTCCACCTGTTTTCCACGGCATTCCAAAACAATTTCCATAGAATAATATACAATATTTTCTGCCCAATCTTTTCATTTGCCTTTAGGTTTTGAAAGGAGCTTATTCTGAAAAAAAGGACTGACTACAGCACAAATCGAATCGCATGCCACAAATGCATATCCCGCCTGGCCTGTGGCCTCTAACGACCCCCGGATACCCTCTGCCCAGTGGCCCCCTTAACAAGTTCGCACCCATTTTGGGGCTCGTTAAAATTCCGACCAAATCACAGCGAAATGAAACGAGAACACAACTGAAAGAAAAAGAGAGAAGAGAAAAAAAAACCAACGTAAATTGCAAATATTTCATTCCGTTTCTTCTGCTTCTCCTTCTTTATGTTTTACGATACACGATATACAGGATGCCATGAGTGTGTGTGAGTGTGTGTGTGTGTGTGTGCTGGTATGGGTGCTCCCCCTGGCTCATTTCCCTGCACATCCTCCCTGGCTCCCCTTTTCGTACGTTTTATGCCTTTTTGCATACATACTTTATATATTTGTACAAAATTTATGTGCGCTATTGTTTTTATGGCATGCACCCATTTCTCCCCCCAAATAGCCCCATGCAACCAGCACACCATCGCCCTGCCACCCCCCCTCCCCACCCATGGAAAATGGGGAATGGAAAACGAAACGAAAACGAGGCAAAGGCAAAGCCTGGCAGAAAGAAAGCAAAATGTTATCCTTGTTCGAAAGGCATTTTAATGCCAGCCTTGGAGTGGGGAGGGGGGGTGTGGCTTGGGGCACGGTTTTTCGGTGGTGCCATGCGGTTGGGTGGGTGGCTGTTCTGGCACTTTTCTGCAAATTATGGCACATGCGGCGACGTCGGCCTTATGCCCTGATCCTTTTGCTTTTGATATGCCCCACACACACACATACAGACATACATATATACATATGTAAATGGGTGGCATCTGCCCCTCTCCCTCTCTCTCAGGGTGTGCTGCCACTTAAGCTGCTTATGTGGCAAATACATAAAATAAAAATAAAAGCCCAGAGAAGGAGCTGGCAAAGCCGAGGCAAATCCTCACATAACGAGCATTTCCCTCTGCCATATTTGTGTTATTTTATTATCATTTTTCTTCGAGCTTCGTCTTCTGCCTTTACACAAAATGGCGGCCTCCTCTGGTATATATATATATACTATATATCTGTATATGTCTTTCAGATATGAGTTGCCATAAACTGTATTACGTGTGTGTGTGTGTGTGTGGGTGTGCGTTTCCGATACGAATCCAATTTCTCAGAGGCAACAATAACACCCAGCCTCAGTGCCATGGGCGATGGGCGGTGGGCGGGGCCGTAAGAAGATAAGCGAAAATGGCGCACCGCCTTATGACGCGACTTAACGGGATTCCATGCGCCCTGATTATGGGCATAAACACAAGCCAATCCCTCGCTCTTTTCATTCAAAAGAAAATTTAAATAAACCGATAAACGAATCCCCGCACTAAGCCCCAACCAACGTCACAGATGTATCTCTGGCCTCTCCGCCAAAGCAAAAGATACAGAAATGAAGACAAGCAAACTGCTTTAATTAAAGCCCAAAAAGAAGTCGCTTCGAGTCGAGTGGAGGAACTCCTCACTTGTTTATGACCCGCAACCGTGGCAGCGATCAGATACAATATCTTCACCTGACACTAGTGCCCCGAGCCGCTGCACTGCAGTCGGAGTGGTGACAATTTATGACATACAACATTGCCGCCGAACAAGAACAACTTCTCCAAGCACCAGCCTCCAGCCTCCATTCTGCATGGTAGCCAATGGCCGCTGAGCTTATGAAAATCATAAACATTCAACGACGGCCGCCAGTGACATCCGAGCAACGAATATGCATTTTAATAAAATATCCTAAAAGCCCCATAAATCACACCCAGCCCAGCCATCGCGTGCTGCTCCTTCGCAAGAGAGGAGTTTATCTCGCGGCTGCTGCTTAATGGGACCTTGCTCTGGACCCTGGGCCCTGCCACACGTTCAGCTTTGGGCTGCTCTCCATCTGCATCTGGGATCCGCTTTGCAGCCAAAAGCAACTACAATTTTGTATATCTAATGGGGAATGCCTTTGGAGTATCTGTACAGTAGTTCGCTCATTCCCTTTTCCCTATTCGCTCTTTAAAGAACCTATAGATCACCCCTTTACTGGTTATATACCCCCCAAAAGAACTCACAGATGTACAAGAACATATATTTTACCACACTCTCAAAGCTGCCTCTTCCATCTTCCCAAATCCCCAATCAAAACTTTTGCTTTGACTCTCCAAAAACTGCTTTCATAATACATAATTATGTGTGAGCCAAAAATTATTTAAACTATGTCGGATGTGCCAACTGTCGAGAGGTGCATTTCAGAGCCGACACTTTTCGTCTAGACTTGGCCAGCCGTAGGCGCAATTAGCCAAGATCAGAGCCGAGATGGAGCAGCTATAATTATGACATATGAAGGCAGGGAACGACCGAGCGACCCATGTCAAAAAACGGCATAATTTGAAGCTGGTCGGAGACTGGACGTGGACAAGGGTCTCGTGGGTCTGGGGTTTCGTGGAATAATGATGCTGGACTCTTGACACATTTGAGGGCTAATTTAAAAGTCTCGCACATGACCATGTACAGGGCTGCATCGATTATGACCAAACGATAGGACAAGGAAGGAGAAGGCAAGTCCCCCGTTTCATGGGATGAAATGAAATGAAAAGTAAATACCAAAAATGAGACCATAATCAACATGGCACATTGTATACAAGTGTCCTCTACCCCCCACAAAACCAACCCGTCCCGACCCGACCCTCAGACAGACATTTAACGATAACACCCAAAGATATCAAAATCGAAATATCGTTAGACAGCCCCGCGCAAAATGCTTGACAAGCATAACAAACACGAAGTACATGGAGGGTGCCCCGATCCCTGTTACCAGCCTGGTGGGGTTCTTTGCTTTTATGATGGTGCCAGCGACGGTGAAGCAGCCACCCCAGCGTGCCACCCACCATTCGACGCATTCAACATGGCGTCGCTTCCCCCCCTTGTGCCCGGACCACTCGGTCGGTTGTGGGCGATATAAACGAAGTTTACCAAATAAATAAAACCGCTCGCCTCCACCAGGATCCCATAGCTCCTGCTACGTCCTGCCGTCCTGCCTTCCTGCCCGACGATTGGGTTGCAATATATCGCGTACGTGCTGGCATGCCATAAATATGTGGCTCTATGTATTCCAAGCAACAAAAATTATATTTCTGTTTGTATTTGCAACAATTTATTTTTCTACCCCCCCACACAACGCCCCCATTGGCACGCCCACCAAAGGAGAAAAGGGAGGGGGGTGGGGGAGAGCTAAAACGAAAACATTTTTCCAGCTCAACTCGCCTCGGAATCGATAACGATGAAGGGGAAAACTGCACGAAGCGAACAAAGGAGACATCGACATCCAGACAGCACCCAAGGTGGGTGGGAGATTTCCTGGAGGTGGAGGGGAGGCAGCTTATTAGATGTACCAGTGCTCGCAGAGATGCCCGAATGATGGTGTGTTCTATCAAGATTCATCTAGAGCTAGCCCTGGAGTTCCTGTTTTGGTAAGACTTTTCTTGGATCATACAAACCTTCAACAATGCAAAATTATATACATAAAAACCTCCTTTTTTGTAGGAAATCGAGCTCGATTCCCTCCACGGCAACCCCTTACTGAAGGCAAACTCTAAAATATGTAGTGCAAGCAAATTTGAGGAGCAACCGCAGCTTGTGGCAAGTGCTAGCCCATATTTGGCCATCATTTGAGTGGCGTCCAAGGTGCAGGCAAAAACGAAAGATTTCTAGAAATCTGTCCTGCCACTCAAATATGTACATCAGGTATTGTATGTATGAATACAAAATACATAGATAGTTGCACAGACGAGCACTCGGGCACTGGATTTTCACCATATTTAATACACTCGAAATAAAAAATCATTAAATTTACTCCAAATAATTATAAAATATACTGAAATACTTATAAATAAAATACAAAAAAATTAAAATAAAAATTAGATTAAAATAAGTTATAAATTAAAAAAATTCTATTATAAATTATAATAAAATTAAATTAAAGGAAATTAATAAATACAAACAAATATTTATTAATTATTAAAAATCAATGAGCAAACATGTAAATATTTATAGGACTATATTTTGAAATATATGTAAATATTCCAGAGCCTCAAATCATTAACAGACTAAAATTAATACTCAATCAATTTTAAAATCTTTTAAATTAAAGAATAAAATATTTATGGCATATTTGATACAAAAAACAAATCGTGAAGCGATCCAAGCCCAAAATATCTACCATTTTGCGATCCAATCCATGTGTATAAAAGGGCTATGGCATAACCCTGAGAAGTATATGAACCATTCTTCCAGTGGACCTGTAGAAAATCAGTTACACTGAAGCTCCGCACAAGACAATGGCATAGGTGGGATGGCTCCCTGGTAGCTTTCCCTATGAAACTCTGACCTGCACTCAAGAACAGGAGCAAAGAAAAACAAAGAACATCCCAAGAAGAAGAGGAGGCAGTCCTGGATGACAGGGTGAAAAAAAATCTGAGCACCAGCAACAAGCCAACAAATTTAAAATGTGAAAACTTTTGGAAGTAGTTGAAAGTTGGCAGCAAGCGGAACGAACCGCAGCCGCCAGAGACAGAGACAGAGACAGGGAGTCAGAGATGGAGATGGAGATGGGGCCCAGAGCAGGAGCAGGAGGAGGAGGTAGTAGAGTCGTCTGCGGCGGTCCCGCTGGCACGGGACTGTCTTTGTCTACCCCTCAAGGGCAGTGCAGAGGGATCCGGAGCAGCAGCAGCAGCAGCAGGGTGCAGGTGCACACAGGGCGGTGGTACAGATACGGGCGCATGGAGGACTCAATGATTTGATGTAGCCGAAAATTTGCCGCTGAGATTTTCTTTGTGGTTTCCGACTTCTTTTGATATAACATTTTCCAACATTGTGCACACTCAAAGGCGGCGAAGGGGGGGCGGGTGTGATGGAGGGCCAAACCCAATCCCGTGCTGTCATTTGCCAATTCAACTAAAACTTCAAAGAGTCCCAGTGCCAGTGCCAGTGCCAGGGCCAGGGCCAGTGCCAGGGCCCGTGCATCCATCCCCCGCATCGCCATTTTGGATGAGGTCTACCCACGCCCACAACAGCCACAGTGGGGCGGCAGTGAGGGTTATGAAATATGACGAAATATGAACTGATATTCCACCCTCGAAGCTGGCCCCTGCTTTGCGCAATCGCGCTCGAGAACCGCCCTTGGGTCCTTGGGCCGACCACAGACCACTTCGATGGCATGCCAATCAAGGTCTGGGCTGGGTAAATATTATCACTACAATGCCGCAGAACAATGTAGAAGTCTCCACTCTGCGGAGGAGACAGACAGCCAGACAGCCATCCAGAGGTCATCAATCAAACGGCACTCTCGGGCTAAACCAATCATCCGGCCGTCCAATCACCCAATCGCTCAGGCGTATCACAAAAACAACAACAATTTTCCAATTAAGCGACCAAAAATTTGAGCATATGATGATTATTGACGATAAGAGCCGTGTGGCTCGAAGCGCCCCAAAACGTACGTGTATCCAGGAATCCGGCAGGACTCTGGAGTTTCGGGCTGGCAAAATGTGCAAATAAATCGCACAATTGCTGGCTGGCCGACTGGCTGTCTGTCTGCCCTGGCCCGGGTCGACCCGGAACATCTCTGCTATCTGCGAGCATCGAAACTAAAAGTTATCTGCGGCCAAAGCAAACCAAAACAAAAGAAACTTTCATTTCCAATTTTCTTGATGTATTAAATTATTTACGCCCTCTTGAGCAGAGGTTTTGTGTGCGTGGCACTCATACGCCTGTGTGTCCAAGTATAAAGATGTACACATTCATCTGTATATCCCCCCCTATATACACACTCGTAGTACATACCCCCACCCGTGTGTCGATGCGAGTACTATATATTGTCCTATATGACATGGCGTTTGAGAGGAAGACACATGTCTTTGCATTATTAATATTATGTCGGGCAAATAGTTGTATAATTATTCAAACGGAAACTTCAAATAATATATGTATAAAAGGTTCATGAAAAAAATCAACGGTCTATATTCGGACATGGATTAAGTCTTTATACTCCAAGTCTTAATATTCCCTGAATTTTGTTTTGATAATATTATTTTATATTAATTTAAATTTCTATAAAAGTATGTGGAATGAAAATCCCAATATCCTTGCTTTATCTTCTCCCTGACAACTCCGCCAACTACTTTGGACTTTGGAGAGGGTTCTAGATTTGTTTAGGAAGTACCAAAGGCTTCCAGAACCTCCACCCAGGGACACTTGTCGTCCGGTCTTATGGCTACTCAACAAAAAAATACATTTTAGAATTTCTTTAAAACATATCTACTAATGGGACTCACCCTAGACTCTATCGAGAGGACACAAGCACTTTTATGGGGTTCCGTCCTACTCGCTGAAACGGAAACCACCAAAAGGAAAGACGGCTGTGGTTTCAGCACACCCTGGCTATATGGAAGATCTATGTAGATTCTGATTACTCAAAGAAAATTCCAAGCAGAATATTCAAAGCCTCGCCGAGTACTTTGAACTGGCTTTTAGACACGCAGATCGCATTTGAAACCACCCGTGGACCCATTTTGTTTCCCTCAACACCAACTTCTGAGACACTTTCGCCGTCTGTCTTCAGAGACAAATAGTTCGGATTGAAGATTAGCCAGCCAACTATGGCGGACGTAGGAAAGTGTCTCCGCCAACACTTTTCACTGCGATCCAACTGTCACCAGCTGCTGGGTGCGCTTTCGCAGGCTCCGGAGTGGAGCGGTGGGGTGTGGAGGGGTGTGGGGGCGTTGATTTTCACAGTGGATGCGCAGGCGGCGAGCGAAAAGAAAATTTTCTTAACTGTATCCAACTCAATTTCACCCACTGGGCCACTGAGCCAAATGTGCAGCGATCACCTGACGGCATCGACATGAAATCCCCCAGCCAAGGCCCCAGGCCCCAGGCCCCAGGCCCCTGGCAGATGCAATTTATGATAGCCAATTTGCGGGCAACATCCATTCTCACACGAGCACTCTGTTATGCCAGCACCAATGGACACCACCATCCACGATCCACAGTCCAGGCCCAGGCCCAGGCAGCAGCAGCAGCAGCAGTCGTCGTGCTCTTAATCACTTTGTTGCACGCATCATAAAGATGCATTGGTTATTCGGAGCGGTTGTTGCCTCCCGGGGGCCACTGAGTACATAACACTGGCCTCCGAAGATCTGGCCGAACATTCATCCAATAATAACCATTTCGGCTTGTTCAATCTCTTTTTGAAGAAGGTCTTTGAATACTACAAAGAACTGTGGGGTTGTTCTACTGTTGTACAAACCGAAACTTGTTCGAGACTATAAGATAGCCGAATACTCGAGCTCCATTTCTTATATATTCCTAATTATTATCTTTATTCGATATATTTTGATAATTACTTAGTTTTATTGAAAGTTTTCTTCGGCATTCTGGAGCATCTGAAGATAGTAATCTCCCCATCTCCTCCTAAAAGGTGTAGCCTCCACTGCGATTTCCCCAAGCGATGATTGAATGCTTTGCCGATGAATAAGTAATCATACCCCTGTGGAGAGAACTGAATGCCAGATACACAACTGCCGTATAGAAATCGAAAAGTACACACTTTCTGGTAGCCCGTCGATCGCGAGAGATCTGAACATGGATGGGCATCCATCCGTGGGTGAGTAACGAAAACATGTCAGAGGCACGGAGGCTGATTACCAAAAAGACCCAGTCGAACGCATAACAAAATATGGATAATGTTAATTGCTGCTAGGAGCTTGATCTGGGTGGGCAGGTCCAAGCAGAAGATACATACGTCTGCATCCCATTGGGGCACGCCAATTCTTTCCGTTTGAGTGCCGCCGGCTTCGACTTCGGCCTGATCGCAATTTATAAAAGCATCGACGGACCAGCGATTTCGCTGCAGTAGCATCCCAAGATTGCTGGCGACTGGCAGCATCACTCTGTTGATAAGCATCGGTCTACAGGATTATCATTAGGATACACACACACACCCACACACACACACACACACACAATGAAGCGGTTCGAGTGGCTGATGATCCTAGCGTGCATCGCGTCCTCCACGGCGGCTGCTACCCAACGACGACGGCGGCACAGCATCGTGGAGGCGGCACCTACCACCGCCAGCAACAGCGATTGGAGCCTGGGACTGGGACTCGGTCCGGAGATGAGTCTGGTGCGACGAGTGTACGATGATTGTCAGGACAAGAACGACTTCATTGGCTGCCTCAAGCAGAAGGCGCTGCACGCGCTGTCGCGCGCCCTCGACCAGGAATCCATTAAGATCATGGATGGCCTGGTGCTGGAGAAGCAGAACCAGACCGACACCGAGAGCATCCTGGGCTCCCTCACGGATGCCCGGCAGTTTGGCAGCCTCTCCCCCATAGACCGCGCTCTGCTCGCCAAAGCCGACAAGCTGCTGCGGACCCACACGCTGAAGCTGGACATGGACATGGGCATGGGCAAGGAGTCGGGCATGGCGGTGGGACGCGGCCATGATAAGAAGAAGAAACACAAGGATGGTGGCCACATCAAGTATGTGATTGCCGCCTTGCTTACGGCCATGGGTATCGCCGGTCCGCTGGGCCTCAAGGCCCTGGCGGCGATCGCTGGCAAGGCGCTAGTGATCAGCAAGGTGGCTCTGACCATAGCCGGCATCATAGCGCTGAAGAAGCTCTTCTCGCACGACCACAGCGAAGAGACGAGCTTCCAGGTCCATGCAGGCGAACACAATAGGTAAGTCGGCGCCATCTATTCTATTCTGGAGAAGATTCCAGCCAGATAATCGCTCTGCTTTCAGGCGCAACACCTACGTCATTCGACCCGTGTCCAAAACGAACGCCGGCATGGGTGTGACCGCAGCCGGTGGCAGCTCTTCGGTGGATCCATATCGCTACTACTACGAGTCCCAGATGCAGTAACGAGTCCTCGCTCCCGCGGATGTTTGGAGAAATCTTCGCTCATGGCAGCGGAGTCTTGAAGCAGCTAAACTACCAAAGATCCAAACCGAACCGCGCCTGGCAAACAGCCTGGGAAAGCAGGCCCTAACCTTATAGTAGATCTTAAGTTTTAGGATAATCTATTTTACAGTTGGAGCAGCGACGTGCCCTCAGCGGAGGAACCCAGTTATTAGGCAGAGAGCCCTCTAGAGCCCTGACCATTGATCTTAAATAATAAACAAAAAATATTGAGTTGAACCAGTTGATCTTTCATCAGAGTCATTCGGTTCTTAACAGATGGATATTAAATCTAGTTGGTAAAAATATGTAAGAAGCTTTCACTGACATTTTGGTAGCCAAGATTCTGTACTCTGACGTCTAGAGATCTTTTTTGCCAAAGAATGACAATCATATGGCACACCTGTCGCTCTAATTCTGTCCCTCGAGGATTACATTAGATGCATTCTAGTAGTACACGTATTAGGCTGAAAATTATAAAAGAAAACAGTAGCTTCATACAAATATAAAGGCTCAGAGCACTGAGGAATGTGAATCAATTGAAGGCCTGAGGAATGTGAATCCATTGAAGCCCTCAGGAATGTGAATCAATCAGAATCATCGGATATCACGTAGCTTGGGCCTTTGGAAGCAGCTCGGATGCTGGTCAGTAGAGTCTGCTGCCTGCTCGAGGAGCGCTGTTCAGGAAATCGAAGGTGTGTATTTTAATATAAGTTCAATTCAAATAATTGAGGAAAAAAATTGTAGCTCACTGTGTTATTCATGGACACGTCTAACTGGGGCTTGGCTCGCGTGGCAGCACTAGTTGCAGCAGCACGACCACGAGCTGCTCCGCGACCTCGAGCAGCACGTCCCCGGCCAGTGGTTGTTGCAGTGGATGAGTTGGCTTCATCTTTCGTTGCAAAAACAGAGGTCTCATCCTTCGGCCGGACGCCACGAGCATCTAGCATTTTGAGCAGATCATCGTGCTTGTGGCGTTCTCTGAAGCACTGGAGCCCATCATCGATGTTCTCGTCGTTGGGCATTGACTCCATCAAATGTTCCACTGCCTTTTCCTTATAGAATCTGAGAGGAAGATTATTCCGCATGAACTTTTAAACAGGGACACGGATCTCTTGATAGTTTCCTACTGACTTGACAATATTTTCGGCCGCATTGGCGTCGCGACGTTCTACCAGGCGATAGGTCATCTCTGCCAGTGCCTTAGAGTGGAGCAGCTTCAGTGGCTTTTTGGTTTTGGCCTCGTCGAAATAGCGATCTACCAATTCCTCCACGCGAGTGGCATTCTCCGCCTCCTGAAACACGCAACAAAATGTATGTTTTAGAGATCCGAATAGAGCTAAGTCGACATACCAGGGCGCGCCTCATGGCCTCCTTGTCCAGTTTGACGGTTTCGCCCTTGGTGCGCTTCACCAGCTTGCTGAACTGCACCACATCCTGGGCGTTCGCCACTCGCGTGTTGAACATCTGGCTAAAACGAATAGTGTTGAACATGCAGGACTCATCGGTGTAGAGCAGGCGCAACCGTATCAAGGGTAGATGCGGCTGCTTCGGATGGCCCGTGAGCTGGGCCTTGGCCTTTTCGATCATGGACTCCACACGCTCCTGGGCGAATTTGTACACTTTTGTGGAGGCGTCGCCCTCGTTCAGGCCCAGCTCTTCGGCCTTGTCGGGCAGTACAATTGAATCGTAGACAAACGGACGCACCGACTGCAACGGCAGCTCCTTCAGCTTGAACTTGGTCTTGTAGATCTCCAGCAGGCCGACGTGTTTCTTTTTGGCCTCGCCCTCCGACAGGGAGGTGGGCACCGATGAGCCCGGCTGGGACACGTAAAAGCCTTTCTTCGCATTCGACTCTGGCTCAATGCGGCAGTCGTGCTCGTGCCCCCAGATCACCAAGTGCAGAAAGTCTGGCAGCAGATCCTCTGGCAAGTAGTTCTTGGGCCCCCGATCTGCGCGATTCTGATGAACGACCATCAGGTGGAACCAGTCCTCCTGCTCGGCTTCGCCATCACCGCCACCGCCATTGCCGCTGTTGCCGGGACACTCGATAGTCACCTTGAAGTCCTTGAAGAGACGCGCTAGGCGACCGTCATGGATGTGGCTCAGGCCATACAGCGCTAGCTGGCTCTCGCCCTTGCGGATAAGAATCGGGCTGATCTCGAGCTTGGTAAGGTCCGTCCACCGGCCAAAGTAGTTCACCAGCCCGGACGTGCTCAGCAGATCCAACGAACTGAGTCGTCCGAAGCCGCTCGGATCATCGTGATTGCCGTGAATGGAGAAGACTGGAATGGCAATGTTCAGATTGGGATCCTCGTAGTTCACCGACTGGTTGACTGCATTGTAGAAGCACAGTGACTGGTCGCTGAGTATCTCCAAGGACACCGGCTTATCTCCGAACGTATAGCGACGCAATAGCTCGATGCACCTGTGGAGCCACAGACTGCGTGTACTTGTTCATCGTCAGTGTCTGGATATGTACTCACTTGTGCATGGCATTCTGACTGGGCACTGCATCGTGGAACAAGTCTCCACCCAGCAATATCATGTCCACATCCTCGGCCACGGCCAGCTCCAGAATCTCCTCGAAGGCGGTGAAACTGTCCTCGCCGCGTACGGCGTCCTTCTCGCCGTAGCCCAAGTGGTTATCGGTGGCCACCATAATGCGGATGACATTGTCGGCATCCTGTTCCGCGGCACTGCTATCTGCCATGGCTATATTTTAACCGCGCTTGATACAAAAAATTGCAAACAATTTATGCCGCTGAATTTCGCAATAGACAATATCGATATCATGTATCGATGACACTATCGTTAGAGCTAAAAACCTCTGGATTGCGCGCGAATTCGAGCTGCTATATATTAAAACTCTTATCATTTGCAAAAACATACACTTTCACCCTAATTATAAATCGTCATGTTTATTGATACATAATTATGTAACTGTATAAATATTTAATAAATTTGTATAAATCTCCCGCGTTTTGATTAATGTAAATCTTTGTAAATCACCTAATGCTAAATTGTCTATGAAAGATCATTGTGTGCCCTGTATGCCAGAGTGTAATGGCAATTTCACATTATTGCTTGTTGATGAATGAGTGCGCCCGCCATTCCGATCACAGCCCTTTGGTCTTCGCTTTAGTCCAGGTAGTTCTCATCAGATCGATCAGTCCAGGTATGGCAAGATAACTTGATGTATTACGGCTCTGTTGGTGTGCCATGCCAAATGATGGACATGGGGTTTGACTATGATGATAAGTTTCCCGGCCTCTTGGAGCGTCCTAGTGCCGATCAAGTCGTCAGTGAAGAGCTTCCGCTTGTTGAACGGAATCACGTCCAAGTCCTCGTCGTAGTATGCAAAGTGGCTAATAAAAAGGAAGAAGGTTTATTAAGATTCAGAGTGTATCCTGATTCCTTACCTGGATTGCCAGGGCGTTATCACATCGTCGTTGGGGCCGCCGACCATGACCAGCTTGCTGAGACGCACCATGCCCATTTTGAAGGAGGTGGAGTTGGAGGACTGCTTCTCATTGTTGATCAGCGGCAGGAATTCGCTATATTTCAAATACAGTGACTGTTTATGCGGGTCGTTCCAGTACCCGCCCACCGATGTGTGCTGCCCTACCGTTGTGTAGAATAGCTCAAAGGCGGTCTTCGCCGCCAGATCCGGAAATATCAGATGCAGGAAGCTGGCTGGAAAACCACATAACATTTAGCTTTTTGTTGATTGTACATTCAACGGAGACTCACTTCCGTATTGACCCGCTTGAGGCGAAGATAGGGAAATGAAGGTCTTTACATTGTGATCGGGCAGACTTTGGATAGCCGCACGGGCCAAGAGTCCGCCCTGGGAGTAGCCTGTAATAAATATCGATTGATTGAGTAATCCTCTCTAGACTCTAGACTCTCTCCACTTTCTGTAGACTCACCCAACACATTGATTCCTTCCGGGTGCTTTTTACCAACATCGCTCAAATAATCCCGAATCTGCTCGACCTGCCGCCAGGCATTCTCCAGGCTGTACCACCCGCTGAATTTGTCGCAGTTGTAGACGATTGTGCCCCGATGGAGCTGCGGATTAAGGAAAAAAAATTCTATTACGTTTTTTGCTTCGACTTTGAACTTGTCATTGAGCGTAAACAATAACAAAGGGGAAATCAATCACGAACCTCTTCGATTTCCCGCACCAAAAAGTCCATTGAATCCGCGCCCGACAGGATTCCATGGAGTATCACAACCGGCCTGTATGCATCAGCAAAGCAGACGAACACAGCCAGCAAGAGCCTTAGCCTCATATTTCCTTAATAATAATATCTAATTCAGGAGCTGTTGTTGTTGTTAGGATTGTTGATACTATATCGATATATTGAAATATTTTTGTTATTGATACGATATTTTCAGTGCGATATTTTTGTTGACGATTATATCACAAATCGATATTTTCAGAATATCTGGATTATAAGGTGCTTACCAAAAATCAGATCAAAATTTTCATTGGATCCTGCCATGACAAACATTTCCTTTGTTTTCCAACTCCCCAGGGTATGCGGATCTTTACAAATTGGATTTTGCCAACGGTAGAAAACGTATGTGAAGTGCGTCTGAAACGATCATGACGTTGACATGTGAATGCTTAAGCAAGGCAAATTATAAAAAGGTATGTATACAAACTAAAACATAAAATGGTCAGGCGGTAATTTCGAATTTTAATTCAAGAATTTTTGTAAATCAAAACAAACTATTTTTTTGTTTCAAAATAGGTTATAGATAATTTAATTTGAATAATCGTATCATTAGAAATTAATTTTCATTTATTCAAAAATTTAGGTGTCTACCTGCCGAGCTTAACTTAGCTCTAATGGAAAAAAGTCAATTTAATCATTAGAGTTCAACCATTATTAACCGATTAAGCCAATACTTATATGGATTTTTAGTGCATATAATGAGGTACCACTTGTATCTGATTGTTTAAACTTTGGTTCCATACGTTTTTTAGTTGTTTATAAGAAGTCAAGACAATAAATTGGGTTGTGCCGGCCAGCAGTATTTTCCTTTACAGAAGCTGGCTTCACAAATGGTAGGGTAGAAGGAGGAGTATCCTGGGTGCGACTGTACTTTGTTCACAAATTCTATAGATACATACACATATCAATCAATCTCCCATCTTTGTTGATTTGAACCTTAAAGGACCCATACAATGTTCCATCTTAGATTGATGTATCCGGGATGTATCCGTTACATGGGAGAAGAAAACAGAAACGAATGACTATTTTCCAACTGAAGAAGGATTGAATGAATAAATAATCTGTTAAAACTCCATTAGGGAATATCCATTGAATTCTTATAAGAGACTACTCTTAGCGTTCTTCATTTGCTTGCCCGACTTCCATTTGGTTTATAAGCGATTTCCAAAGTCATTCAAGTAATTCTGAATCCCTTATCTAAATAAATCAAGTCTTAAAATAATGCTCGTTTATTCACTCATCATCTTATACAATCGCTATGTACTTTGCACTATTGTGTCTTGCATTTTGTGTTAAATCTAGGTGCAGCATTCCTCGTTTCAGTATTAATATCTACTATGCCTTGTGTCCGGACCAAAGCCAAACCAAACAAGAGACGTGGGAATAGGCAGCGGTAACTGCTCGTTTCTTACTCGCTGACGGATCTGTCTGTACACAATTCAGTTTGTTTTCTTAAGGATCGGAAACAAGAGGTGACTTCAAGGTATATCAAATATGACAACACTTAACATTTTAGGCTTAGGCTAGGGGGCGGTAGGTCGTACCGTTTGTTAAAGAGTTTCGTTTCGATCTAGATTTGTCGCGATTCGGGATTCATTCTGCAGCTGCTTCGGTCTCTTATCTAGTAATAGAAATCCTCAACTTGTTCGGGGGACGTTCGGAGGATGAAGGCCGGCAGGAGCCTTCACCCTGCAACTTCTTCGCTGACAAAATCCAGCTTGACCACCTCCGCCGGCAGGCATTCCTCGACATCGACCTCGTTCTCCTGCACATTGATTCGATTCAGAGTCATCGACACGTCCGGCCCGCACTTGAGGCCCGTGCTGGCTGATGTGGAGGGGGTGGACGTTGTACTAACCACATCGTCGGCAATGGCCACCGGGCCCACCGCCCCCGTGCTCGACGACAATACTGTGGTGACCGACGACGGCACGACTATCTGCGTTGAGGCGGACGTTGCCACCGAGTGAACCGGATGCACAAGCGACTGGGGCTGTTGCGCCGCCGCCGTTGTCGACGTGGGCTGCTGTATAATGATATTCTCCGTGATTGTCGGCGTGTTGGCTGCCGCTGCTGCTGCCGCGGCCGCCGCCAGAGCAGCCGCCTTTTGCTGCTGCATTTGCTGGAACTGCTTGATGGTCACCGTCGTCGTTGTTGTCTGCGGCAGTTGCTGCTGATGCTGCTGTAGGAGGATCTGCTTGGGTTGCGTCACCAGCTGCACATGCTGGATACTGGCAGCCATGTTCGAGTTCTGCGGCTGATGCTGATGCTGGTGCTGCTGTAGGGGTAGTTGCTGTACAGTCTGTGTCTTAAATACTTGAGGTTGGTGCTGATGGGACTGCTGGAGCTGGGGCGCTGTCGTCAGTTGCTGCTGCTGGTTGACGGGCAGCTGGGGGACTGTTTGAATGACGTGATGCACCTGTTGGACAGGGACTTGCTTGGCAGGGATGCCGGCGTCCTCGAAGGCCTTCTTCTTCAGGGCTTGCCGTATCTGAGAGCTGCAAGATGTGTGGGATGGGATAGCATTTTGTTAGTATGCTGGGCCCCAGTATCGCCATGTTCTCTCGCTATGAGCACTTACACTGTACGGTTCTTAATGCTAAGACTGATTTTGCTAAGGTCGTCCGAGAAGCGCATAATCGACGAGTGCAACATGTCGATTTCCTCGTCCGTCCATTTACTGGGCGCCACATAGCGAGGGAACATGCAAAAACACCTTGATTAGCGCCTGGCGATCGAAAACAGACTCGGAACCGGCTTCAGAGCACACTTACCCGGACGGCGATTCGGCATTTGGATGCAGTTGCATGGTGAGGTCGCCCAATCTGCTGAAAGCTTGTCCGGCGGCCGTGAAAATCTCCCCAACCTGCGGATAAAAATGTCGTTTCACTTGGTGCAACATGGTGCAGCTGCGGGTAATTGCAACTCGTCTGCCGGCAGCTGTTGTTGTTGGCATTTACGTGCTTTGCAAATTCAAAACATACGCGCCCTCCGCCCCTGTCATGGAACAACAAATTTCCCACTCGAAGGAGGGAGACGAATGACACTTGAGGCACCGTGCCGCCACTTTCCCGCACAAATCAAATGCCGCCCAGGGCGTTAGATTTGGAGTTTCACGTGGGGGCAGACGACATGACTGCGTTGCACCTACCTTTGTTGCCGAGTTCATGGCTGATTGCGTCGAATTAGCTAATTTTTTGCTATAATTTTCTGTTTTGCTTTAGCAAAACCTATGCTGCCTTTTCCAACACTCCAGCAGTGTGACCGCGGATTTATCGTTAAAATATACCGTCCGACCCTCAGAAATATACCAAAAATACCGTCTCATTTTAAAAATATACCGTAAATATACTGACTAATTCAAGTTCTATATTCCTCGATTTTTATATTCCGTGTAATATTACTAGCTAGATAGCTGCTAGTAGCCCTGCTCACATAATTTTATCTTATTAATGACTTTATTTTCTACTTGACTGGCTTATTTTAAATACTTCACTTTGATTGTTTTTGCCTCCATTTAGGGTCCTTAAAGCAATATAGCGTCTCGTATGATGAAAAACTGTACTTAGCCCTCTTAAGCCCCCTTTATTTAAATAGTTCAACTTCTTGAGGTAAACTGCGGAAATATTAACGATTGTAAATTCTTCTCGAGGATTCATGAATAAAATGATTAAATTTTCACTTTTTTCGGTGGAAAATTTAAATACCGCCTTGGCTTATAATAGGTTAATCGTTCTTCGTCAAGGATTGGAAACCATATTGCTCAATTTTGATGTTCCATCGAATATTATTAGCTTGATAGAACAATTAGCCATGCCCACATAGTTTTATACGATTGATTAATAAATTTTCTACTTAACTGGCTTATTCTTAATACTGGCTTCTGTTGGATTTTGCGTAAAAAAATGTTTTAGCGAAAATGGTCAAACAAAAAATTCGAATAGGGACATAGATGCGCTGAAAAATCCCTCCACGAAAAAGAAAGTCGCACTATCGACTAGATGCGAGTGGTGCGCGCCAAATAGAAATTGTTTGAAAGTGAATGAGCGAAAAGGATTTAAATGCAATCTATTGGAATAAGTGATACACGTAAGTACGATTTGTAAGCGAAAATTAAAAAAAAACCTGCATATGGAAGTTTCTATACCCTAAATAACGCAAACAGTCACTTACATATCGTCAATTTACCCACTTGATACCAGGGCTGCATCAACTGCTCTCCTGCCTCCGTTTATGCGTGAGCACCTGTCGGAGATTTATTTTAGCATTTATTATACTATATAACAAACAAAAATAAATAAACATATATCAAAAATTACTTAAAAGCAACACAATAAATTAATTAAACTCAACTGAACACGCCTTTATGGTCAGCGCAAAAAATTGTGAGGAATTTCAAAGCATTCCATTAAAGTACGGCGCGCGACGCTCATCGTGGATGGCTCTTCGACGATTCCTCCGCAGGTCGGACTCAATTCGTGTGGATTTCTGGAAAAGAAAGAAGTCTTTGAATAAGGTCCAAGATATTAAATGGGTTTATCCAATGCCTACGCGATCTGGAGGAGTGGTAGACGTACTCTCCACAACTTTCTTCACAGTGTCGCTTGTAAGCTCAGCCGTATTTGTTTTCTGAAAAAAACAAAAACACATATATTCGTTCATTTCAAAGAGATTAAAGTGCATATTCTCTTACTACTCCCAACTCGTTGTTTAGTTTTTGATTGGCTTCTTCGAGAGTCAATTTTTTCTCATAAACTGCATTCTTTTCCATAAGTTGAGCTACTTGTTTTTGACTCTCCTCAATTTCCTGGCGCATTTTCCGACATTTCCTATTGGTTTCTGCGAGGCTTTGTTTTTTCTGGTCCAAAGCGTCCCGGAAGGAATCACGTTCTGCCTGCACGCATTGGAGTTGAGCCTTTAGTTGGGAATTATTTTCGACCTTCGCTTGCAACGCGGACAACTGCGTTTTCTGTACATAACTTGTATTTATCTGAAAAACAGGCATCTGTGAGATTACTTATGGACGATTGAAGCGAAAGTTTCGCTTACCAGTTCCGCACGCAGCTTCTCGCATTCTTCGAGACGACGGTTCTTGCTTGTTAAACGATTTCTTAGTTTCTCTATTTTATCTAGATATTCCAGCTTAAGGACGTTCAGTTCATCTGTTTTTATTTGTTCAATGGCATCTACCGCATATCGGGCATTCTTCAGAGTTGCTTCAAGAGTCTTGATACGATCTCTGTCACGCTTTAGAGTTTGTTCAAGAGTCTCTATGCGATCTCTGGCACTCTTTAGGTCTTCTTCAACAGTCTCGATGTCTCGATTGTTCTGCAGCAAACGCTCCTGCATCTCCGACAGGGAGTCTTCAGCCTTGGTGCTGCGCTCGACGAGCTTCGCATTGGTTTCCTGTAGCTGGTCGACGCGTTGGACGTCGTCTGACAATTTCTCTAATTGTCTTTCCAGGAGCAGCTGCTTCTGGCTGGCTTTTGACTGGAGCTCCACCTGCTTTACCGCCATGGACATGCAACGTTTGTTAAGCTCCTTAACTTCCGTACACAGTGCATTCCGTTCGTTTTGCAGGACGTCGCATTTCTGTACACTTTCGCCAAGATGATTATACATTTCGTCATACACTCTACTCATGTGCCCAAAGATCGTCTGCACCCCCGCCAGTTCTTCCTTTAGAGCATCTATCTGGGCCTCGGTATTGGGAGCTTCCAAGATCAGACGCTGCGCCTCCTCCACTCGCTCCCTCAGAGTGACAATCTCAATCTGCAGTCTGTTGTTGTCAGCGTCCAGCTGCAGGACCTGCTCTTCAGAAGCACTCGAAGTTCGTCGCAGATCCTCGTACTCTTGTTGCAGCTTCTGGTACTTCTGGTGTAAATTATAGTCTGCTGCCATGCTCTGTATGACCTTCTGCTGGCTCTGCCACATCTGCTCCAGACCATCGTACTTCTCCTGCAATACATTGTCCACACGAGCGGTGGATATTGGACAGCTGAAGCATTTGCAGTCCACCGACTTTTCGGAAAACTGGCACATGGCCAGGGTATAAGCCAACTGAACGTCTTCCAGCTTTTTCCGGGTCTCGACGATGTCCGCTTGCAGCTGATCGCACTCACGCTGGGTTGTCTCCGTGCACTTGGATTTGCCATCGGCCAGAAGGCGTTCAAACTCCAGACACTTGGTGCAGATTCTCTCGCAGCTTGACTCCAGCTCGGGGCAAATGGAGCGCATCTGCTCTTCCTGGCTGTTACGCAGAACATCGCGGGACAGTTCGTTGAGAGTTTTCTGCAGATTTTCTATGGACAAGTCCTTCTGTGACAGCGGCGAAAGCAAATCGGTGTCGTATGACACGTACTGGTGCTTCATCTCGAGGCTTTCCTTCTCCAGCTTCTGTATGGACTGTCCCAGCTGCTCCTCGTTCGTCTCGATCTGGTTTCGATCGACCACCATCTCTTGCAGGGCTTTGCAGCTGGAATTAACAAGAATTGAATACTCAAAAATACAGAAGTTTTCGGAAAATTGTCAGGCAATAGCTGGGTTCCGAGCTGTTTAACAGATACTACTTTATGTTTATGTTTCCCCCGTGGCTGCATTTCGGCCAGCTCCAACTGACTCGGGGGGAAACATTGTTGTGGGGGGGACGGGGACGCCCTATAAATAGAAGCAGTCGCTCGCGTACTGCATTCAGGTTGGTTGGAGCTGCCTCTCTCCCTCGCACCGACAGATACATACTCACGCGGGGCCACTGGCGGTAATGGTAATGAGCCAATCTTTGTATATGTGGGCATCACTGTTACATCACTGTCGAATACGCCTTGAGGCAGCAGTAGGTGTAACGACGTCACCGATCACCAAAATCAAACGCAATAAGCATTGGAGCAGACGGCGGAGCGCTGGACTGTGATCTGGTGTGTGGCGACGGCCACAATGAGCTTGGGGCCAGGCAGCATTTTGGAATAGCAAATTATCAAGAAGTTTCGGAATTATCAAGTTTGCTTTATCGCTTCTGCTCGTCGGGGCCGCACACTCCGATCGGCAGGGCCGACGTCATCACTTCGAGCCGAATCTATCAGTGAAGCGGGCTAAAATCAGCAAATGGCCAACACCTTGCCCTCTCGCACACACTATGGAGAGGGTCGGGTTCTTCTTCTTGCCTCTTGTTGTTTGTTTTTGTTCTCAATTCTCTTTTCGGCCGAAGTTCGCGCTGAGAAGAAGAGGAGTGGAAGAATCGGAGATCGGCTGTGGCCTGTCGATAACGATTTATGCTTGTGGCGCGCTGGCGGAGATTTTTTAATCGGAGTTTGCAAGTGGCCCGTGCATATTTTATTACTAACCATACAGTAGACTATACAGATGTGCCAGCTGAATGTGTTGGTATACCACACACAATATATTTTGTATAGCTTCTACGGTTGAAGAATATCAGAATATAAAAAATATCAATATGAGAAGAACTATTATTTTATATATTCACAAAATCTTACAACTGATAAAGATGAGATACTTACGAGAAAGCTTCTATAGGTAGACTAATGGGAGGAGGGGATTCAGGTATAAAAACCCACCCTTAAAACTAGTGTTGGTAGGTCAAGTTCTTTCGAGAAAAACCAAGCAAGCTTGTCAAAATCCATGTCAAAGAAGGCCATGAGATTTATTATTTGTCCAGATTCAATTTTAAGAGTTTTGATTACAATAATTTTCCTAGCTAAATTTGTCGGAGGATCTCTTTCCGTTCCAACGTTTACGAATAAGTAGGTAAATGTTTAACCAAAGATAAGTGAGATAGTTCTTAGGCCTGACACCCCACAGACATTCCGATAAGCTTAAAGGACAAAATGGAAAAGGAAAATACAGACAAGGAAATCCCCATGAACAAATTAATCGCCTGGGTCACAGAGGAAGAGTGCGTGATTTGCATGCAGCCAAAGCGGGATCCCAAATTCGTGCCCTGTGGCCACTCTTTTTGCGGGAAATGTGCCACCCAGATTATACTCTACAATAGTTCAGACACAAATCCCCACTGTCCGTTGTGCCCTCTGATATATCACGATACAACTTAAACTAGATGGTTTGAATGGATGGTGGGTGATATGGGGGGTGCAAATTTGTTGACGACAATAAATGTTATGTTCTCAAAATCGCATCAACATCGTTTTTGAAGATATTCCAAACACAAATGGCAATCAGAATCGGACAGATAAGGCTCTCCGCCTCATCGAGTCGGTTAGCAGAGCGACTTCCGCAGAATCGGATTCAGCTTGTCGGACCAAACATTGATCAGATTGCTGTTGCTGTTCAAGAAAGCAGAAGACCATAGACTGATTTACGATACGAAAGATTACGAGGTACCGTTTGGCGCAGCAGATCCGCCTAGCTGTTTATGATGCACTCCTCGCAATTCACATTCACTGTGCTATTGCTAGCCTCGTGTATCTTGAGAAGCAGCTTCTTCTTGTTCATCAGATCAGATTCTCTTGTCTATTTAGATGTAGCTCTGTCTGTTTAATAACATATATAACATATATTAAAGCTAATGAGACTTTGAATTTCTATACAAATTATCGAATGTATAACGAAAGTACTATCGATTAGCATATCGATATACATATTTTCATTTTAGATACCATTGAGCGCCAAATTTAAATACGATACCAATTAATGAGTTAATGGCTGCTGCTAATTTCGTCACACACAAAAACAGTGGGGCAGCATAGAAGCAATAGACAAGACAAAAATAATGCATATGTAATCTAACCTACAGAACAAATGACTAGAAAAAAGACTTTGTAAACGAATAACTGACAGAACATCAACACGTATTCAACACACCTTTAATCCGGGCCAGTTTGGTTGGGTTGTTGCTGGATAATGGCTAATACAGCTGCATAAACGGGACGATTAGTACTACACCGAATTCCACTCCTAATCGTTGCGGTTATGCAGCTCTTAAGGCAGGCGATAAAATGGCAGCATAGAAGCAATAGACAAGACAAAAATAATGCATATGTAATCTAACCTACAGAACAAATGACTAGAAAAAAGACTTTGTAAACGAATAACTGACAGAACATCAAAACGTATTCAGCACACTTTTAATCCGGGCCAGTTTGGTTGGGCTGTTGCTGGATAATGGCTAATACAGCTACAGAAACTTACACCGAATTACCCAATGCACAGAATTAGAACACCAAACTCTTGTTTTTATGGTACACATGTACAGACATTTTATTATTGGTTCATCTTCCGCTCGTCCTCACGTAGATGATATACATCCAACTCTTTTTCCAAATTCAAAAGACCAAAGCACCCCTTTTCGGCCCCAAAAATATTTGATTTAATTATAGAAAAAAGACTTTGTAAACGAATAACTGGCAGAACATCAACACGTATTCAACACACTTTTAATATGGACCAGTTTGGTTGGAAACTGGCTGGTTATTGAATACTGTTTGATTTAGAGAGTATGTCTATTAATCCGTGAAAATTTGAGATTGATGCCTGCAAGAAAGCATTTTGGCTGGTTATTTACGGTGTCTATGTACCACATATTTGGAAAATAAGAAGCTACCTTAGTTGCCTGAAGAAGTTGATTTTTTTGCGATACTCGGTTTCTAGATCTTTCGAGTGGTGATCATCCATGAATTTGAATTGGCTCGAGGATAAGCTGTAAAATGGGTTGACTGGTCGGCGGCAGAAATCCGGGTCGGGTATGTCCTTTTCGGCGATACATTGTCGCAATTTGGAACTGTGCGATGACCGGCTGTAGTCCTTGGTATAGACTGAAATAGGAGGGACGTGAACTCGCGGCACTAAATCCTTATCTTGGGAATATCTGAAATTGTCAAAAGCAAACGGATAAATGGGACTAATGGGTATTGAACCGAATCTTCCTTTACTCACTGATTCGACTTGAAGGAACGGAAATGAACAATTTTTTTCAATACTTCAGGACGTACCGAATGTTGCTTTGCACCGCTCTCCAAGGCATCTTGTGTTTCTGATTTCATACCCGCCATGCAATCATTGACGTCCCTCGGAAAAATGCTTGACTTCTGTTGCCGCGACATTGTGTATATGTGTATAAATGATAAATAACAAGGAACACAACACTTGGAAAACTTAAATTTTCTAACAAACCTAATTTTAAAATTGTGACAACAATCGAAGAAAAGTCTGCTATGTATTTATTTATCGTGGTTTTTTGTAAGTATATATTTTGACATATTTTCAGTATATTTTCCACCCAATACCACAAGTAGTTTAAATAGAGGGGGCTTAGGTGGGCTAAGTTCGTTTTTTCATCGGTATATTTGCGGTATATTTAGAAAATGAAACGGCATATTTCGGTAAATTTTTTCAGGTCAGACCGTATATTTGGTCGGTAATTCGGCGGTCTGCATTTGTTCGAATTTAACTGTACGTACGCCATGCAAAATTTTGCTAAACAATTTTGATCTAGAAGTTTCATTGAAAAGTGTCTTTTTATGTGAATAGTCAACTGATTTGTGAATGTTTAATGTGATAAAAATTCGAAATAAGCCAGAGAATGTCTGCAAAGAGTTCAATTCAGGTGTGCATCAAGGTGCGCCCCTGCGAAGCCGGCAATGCATCGGTGTGGGAAGTGAAGGAGTCCCGCTCCATACGCCTTATCGACAACCAAACTGATCCGTGTGTCTTCGGTGAGTGAGGAAATCATAGAGAAATCATAGATCGCACAGTTTCTTATGCGCGTGTCCTATTTGTAGACTATGTGTTTGATCAGAATGGAAATAACCAGGAGGTGTTTGACCGCATGGCCAAGCACATTGTCCATGCCTGCATGCAGGGCTTCAATGGTACTATTTTTGCCTACGGCCAGACGTCATCAGGTATTTATACATCTCCGCATATGCATATGCATATGCCGCACACACACTCACGCACGAACTCCCTCTAGGCAAAACGTACACAATGATGGGCGACAGGGAGAACCCGGGCGTAATGGTTCTTGCTGCTAAGGAGATCTTCAAGCAGATAGCCAACGACAACGATCGCGAGTATTTGCTTAGAGTGGGCTACATTGAGATCTACAACGAGAAAGTCTACGATCTGCTGAACAAGAAGAACCAGGACCTCAAGATACACGAGGCCGGCAATGGCATTGTGAATGTGAATTGCGAGGAGTGCATCATAACCAGCGAGTCGGATCTGCTGCGGTTCCTCAGCATGGGCAACAAGGAGCGCACTGTGGGCGAAACCAACATGAACGAGCGCTCCAGTCGCTCCCATGCCATCTTTCGCATCGTAAGTTCAGCTGCTAGTCAGATCTTCTGCTCCCCTGATCTCAGCAATTGATCTCCCTGAAATTCCAGATCATCGAATCGCGCAAAAGCGATCGCACTGTGGACGATGCCGTCATTCAGAGTGTCTTGAATTTGGTGGACTTGGCCGGTTCTGAGCGGGCCGGGCAAACAGGTGCGAGCGGGACTCGCCTCAAGGAGGGGAGCCACATCAACAAGAGTCTTCTGTTCCTCAGCAACGTGATCATGAATCTGTCCGAAAACTTGGACAATAAGTTCATAAGCTTCCGCGACTCCAAATTGACGCGGATACTGCAGGCTTCGCTAGGAGGCAACGCCTTCACGTCCATCATATGCACCATCAAACCCTCGATTGTAGAGGAGTCGCTATCGACAATCAATTTCGCTATGCGCGCCAAGAAGATCCGCATCAAGCCCGAGGTCAACGAGATGGTCTCCGATGCAACAATGATGAAGCGGCTGGAGCGGGAGATCAAGGAGCTCAAGGACCGCCTGGCCGAGGAGCAGCGCAAGAACGAGAGCCAGCTAAAGGTGAAGCAGCTTGAGAACCGCATCCAGAACGACATGCTTAAGATCATCACTAGCAACTCGCTAAACGACAAGCGGTTTAAGAATCGCCGCCGTACATGGTGCCCTGCCACCTCGATTCCAGAGAGTGCCATCCCCACACCGCTGCATTGCGGACCGCCAGAGCCCAAACAGGACCATCGACAATCGAAGCTTTCCCATCTGCCGAAGCCGGTGTTCTTTCCCAACTCGCACATCAGCCACCGCGCCGACAACGGTCCCAAGACCATTAATATCATGAAGTCGCTGGACATTGGCACTAGTGAAGAGGAATTCAGCCCAGCCGAGCTCATCGACTTTGGTCTGAGGCCCTCGGATGTTTTGAGGACGAAGGAGCTTAGCAGAGCTGAGCTCTCTCTCACGCCCAATGTGGGAGTTTCAAGGTAAGTAGTTTTTGAATTCTTTCCACAACGATGTAACCACACACGTCACCCCCTGCATGCACACACACACACACACACACACACACACACACACACACACACACCACACCACACCTCATTCATTGTCACCTCACATCGTCGTCGCATTACACATTTTCTCATGTGAGATAGCTTGGTGGAGAAAACGAAAATCGATCGCTTGGAGCTGCAAATGTTCACCTCGTTAGAGAAGCAGTTCGAAGGGGACTGGGAAAAGTCCCAGGCTCTGGCAGAGAAGTTGTCCGAGGTGACAGCCCAGCGCGATGAGCTAGAGTCAGAGAGCCAAAAGAATGCCCAGCGGTGAGTCCCACAGGAATAGAAAATATAATTGACAATCAGACACTGCAATTGGCATAGAAATAATCAGGAAAAATAGTCCCCACCCCCGTCACTAAGAATTGACATCAATCACATTTCATATCCTGAAGACATTAAAATACATAGCTCGTCGAGAGGATTTTTTAAACTATTTTACTTGTCTTGTTTTTAGTTGCGAAGCCCTGCAGGCCGAGATAGAGGCAGTCAATGCCAAGAACACAGAGTACGAGGAGCAGCTGAAGGCCTTGAAGGAGACCATTCAGAAGCTGGAGGTGGAGAATCGTGAAGCTGTGAGTTTGGAATTCGAGTACCAGTCCCACAAAACCAAATCAAAGCTTCGAGAGACCGATCTACTGTCGGCTCTGTCGGAAAAGGATTTGGCCATCGAAAATCTGCAGAAAACTCTCGATGAAATCTCCCGCGATGTCCTGCGCAACAGCAAGGAGGAGCTAATGCGCTCCATTTGCCCCGAGCTGGAGTCAAGCCCCGAGAGAATCTGCACCAAATGTCTGGAATTTGACAGCCTCTTGGCCGATGCCGATACAAAGCTGAAGAACGTTCAGGTGGCCTTTACCCAGAAGACGCAGGACTGCGAGCGCCTCAATACCCAAATATCCACAGCCCATGGCGACATGGCTATTCTGCAGGGAAAGTACGATAGTCTGGAGCAGAATTTGCAGAGCCAGCAGCAGGCCATTGAGGCCATGGAGGCAGACTATAATTTACTCCATCAGAAGTACCAGCAGCTGCAGCAGGAGTACGAGGATCTGAGGCGAACGTCGAGTGCTTCCGAAGAGCAGGTTCTGCTGCTGGAGGCAGACAACACCAGACTGCAGGCCGAGATTGTCACTCTGAGGGAGCGAGTGGAGGAGGCGCAGCGTCTGCTCTTGGAAGCTCCCAGTCCCGAGACCCTTGCGGAACAGTTCAAGGCCCAGAGCGATCAGCTCAAGGCAGAGCTGGCGAATGTCCAGACGAGCCTTGCGGAGATGCAGGAAGAGTACAATTGCATGTCGAACCAGCTAATGGACAGTGTGGAGGAATGCGATGTCCTACAGAACGAGGTCAGCGCTCTGCGTGAGGAACTTAAGCTGCAGCGGTCGATGCCCAGCTGCGACATCGAGTCCATGAAGAGCTCAGGCGTTGGCACCGAGTGCAGTGATCTTGATTCCGACGCAGACAGCGGATTTTTGGAGAAGTTTGCTCGGCTGTCAGATTCGCTGCACGAGATAGAGCTGCAGCATCGCTCGGGCAGCAGTCGCCTCTTCAGGGCCACTAAGATTCATGAGCAGAATGTGCCCGGCCTGAAGCTTTGCCTCGAGTCAGCTACAGACATACACACCGTCTCTCACCCGCTCGATGATAATACAGCCGATGAGGTGTGCCTGAAGGGCGTGCTGCGACAGCACAGGTTCCAGATTATCAGACTCACCCAAGAGTCAGCGCCAGGGGAAGAAGAGGTGGAGAAGAGACGTCTGCTCGACCACATTGCTCGGCTGGAGATGGAGATTGCGGAGAAGAATATGCTGATCGATGTCACGGAGGGAACTATTAACGAGATGCGCGAACAGATGACCGACCTGGAGTCGGCTCTCCTGGAGAAGTCGGTGATCGTCAACAAGGTTGAGTCCTACCAGCGACAGATCGAGTCCCTAGAGAAGCAGAATGCCGAGATAACCATCGTCTGTGAGGAGCTGCAGGAGAAGGTGAAGGAGAACACACTGAGCGAGAGTCTCATGTTATCCCATGGCGACGATACCCTGCCCGGCAGCACATCCCCCTTGTTGCTGCCAGACCAGGAGGCATCCGAGATAGCTGCCCTCAAGACATCCCTTTCCGAGCTGAAGGACAAAGTCGCCGAGCTCCAAGGCCGAGTGGAGATACAACTGTTGCAGTTGCAGCAAAAGGACAACCATATCGATCAGCTGCGTACGGAAATCGACGAGCTGAATGAGCGCTGCATGTCCATGGAGGTGAAGCAGGTGGAGCTCCAATCGAATGCCAGCCAGAAGCAGCAGCTCCTGGAACGACAAGCAGAGAAGTTGGCAGACGACGTCCAACGCATCGACCAGCTACAGGAAACCAATGCGAAGCTCGTCGAACGCAGCACTAAGGCTGAAGAGTCCCTGTCGGAGATGCAGGAGCGTTTGCTGCAGAAAAATGGAGACATCCAGACTGTTGAAGAAGACTTAAAGAGTGCCAGAGATCGCATCGAGACTCTTCAAGAAGACCTAAAGAGTGCCAGAGATCGCATCGAGACTCTACAAGAAGATCTGAAGAGTGCCGGAGACCACACCAAGACTGTTCAAGAAGATCTGAAGAGTGCCGGAGATCGCATCGAGACTCTTGAGGAAGACCTAAAGACTGCCAGGGATTCGATTGAGGCCATTGAACAAACGAAGATAGATGAACTGAACGCCCTTAAGCTGGAATATCTCGATAAAATAGAGCAGAGCGAGAACGAATATCGCGCCAACTTCCGCAAATACAACGCGGAGTGGGAGGAGGGCAAGGAACGCTACGAACAGAACGTGGCCAGTCTCGTGGCAGACCAAGCCAAGGCTGCTGCTCAACACCAGGCAGAGCTGGAGGACATCAGGATAGAGCATAATTTGGTCTTAGATCAGCTGAGGCAGGAGAAGCTCGAACTTGAGTCGCTTTGCGCGAAGAGCCAGGAATTGGTGGAGGAACTACAATCGCAGATGAACGCCCACGACCGCAGCTCATCCGTACAGCTGGATGAGCTGATAGCCGTCGAAAAGCAGAGGAATCAAGAGCTTAAAGACAGATGCGAGGAGCATATTTTGGACTACGAACAGCAGATTTCTAAAATCCAAGCTGACCTGGATAAGCTGAAGGAGGAGAAGATGGCTCTGCACTCCGAGATCAAAGAGGCGGAATCGCAGCATGCGAGCACTTTGGAGAAGATTCAACTAATGGAGCGAGAACTGGAAACCCTGAGCAAGCAGACAGCCTTCGAGAAGGCTGAACTACTCGACAAACTTGAGACTTTCAGCTCGAAGAACAGTGATCTCAATGAAGAGCTACAGAGGGCCCAAAAGAAGGCTCTCAGCTTTGAAGACCTACTCTCTCAGCATCAGAGGTTGCAAGAGTGCTTGTCCGAGGCCACTGGGGTTAACATTACGCTAAGAGAGCAAGTAGAGAACCTACAGTGCGAGCTCAACAGTTCCCAGAAAGAGCAAAGCGATCGAACCGTTGAAATCGAAACACTTCGATCGGAACTGATCGGCGCCTTCGAAGTGATGGACTCTGCGACAGCACAGGAGTCTCTTCTGAAGCTTCAGATGCAGCTAATGGAGACCAAGATTTCTAGTCAGGCAGAATATTTCCAACAGGAGGTGGCAGTGCTGAAGAGTTCAAAGAACGAGCTGCAGCTGAAGCTGGAGTCCCTGCAAGAGAGCAAAACGAAGCTGGAGTCGTGCAGTCAAGACCTAGAAGTGGCAATGAAAAATGCCAGAAACCTCCAAAGTATGCTGGAAGAGGAGCAACAAATGTGTTGTTCTCTGCGCGATGCCTACTCGAAACTGGAGGAATCCAATGTCCAGCTGGTGGGTCAACTAAAGGAAAAGGATGCAGCATGTGAGGCCTTCCAGGATTCGTTGTCTCGGCAGAATAAGGCTCTCGAAGAAGCCAATGTCAAATGCTTGGAAATGCGGCAGGAAGTGAAGGAGGCCCGCATGTCCGTGGAGGAACTAAAAAATGAATGCGAAACCCTGCGATCATCTCTAGTAAGCGATGAATATATCCCCATTATCCTTACCTTTTTTGATCAATGATTTTTCAGAATTCCGCTTTGGCCCAGCAAGAACAAGTCCTTGCAGAATCCGATAAGCAATGCCTCGAACTTCGTCAGAAAATTGAGGAAAGTCGCCAGTTAGTAGCTCAACTCCAGGAAAAGGAAGCAGTTTGTGAGACCCTTCAGGATTCCTTGTCTCAGAAGACACAGGCTCTCCAAGAAGCCAATGGCAAATGCTTGGAAATGCGGCAGGAATTGGAGGAGGCTCGCCAGTCCGTGGCGGCACTGACCAAAGAGTGTGAAAGTCTGCAAACGGCGCTGGTAAGAGAAAAATACACGCCTCTCAATCTTCATTACTTATTCTCATCGATGTGTGTCTTTCCAGAAAACAACTGAGACGGAACGCGATTCCTTGCGCAATTCTGCGGCCCAGCAAGAACAAATCCTTGCAGAGACCGATAAGAAATGCCTCGAACTGCAACAGGAAATTAAGGAGAGTCTCCAGTTAGTTGCTCAACTCAAGGAAAAAGATGCACTCTGTCAGACCTTCCAGGGTTCCTTGTCTCAGCAGACACAGGCTCTCCAAGAAGCCAATGGCAAATGCTTGGAAATGCGGCAGGAATTGGAGGAGGCTCGCCAGTCCGTGGCGGCACTGACCAAAGAGTGTGAAAGTCTGCAAACGGCACTGGTAAGAGAAAAATACACGCCTCTCAATCTTCTTTACTTATTCTCATCGATGTGTCTTTCCAGAAAACCATTGAGGCGGAACGTGATTCTTTGCGTATTAGTGCAGCCCAGCAAGAACAAACTCTCGCTGAAACCAATAAGAAATGCTTGGAAATGCGGCAGGAAGTGGAGGAGGCTCGTCAGTCAGTAGCTCAAGTCAAGGAAAAGGATGCAGCATGGGACGCCTTACAGAATTCCTTATCTCAGCAGAAATTGGCTCTCGAAGTAGCCAAACAAAAATGTTTGGAAATGCACCAGAAAGATGAGCAGTCTCGCAAGTCAGTGGCGACACTGACCAAAGAATGCGAAACGCTTCGCACAACAATGGTAAGCGATTATGACACTTTCATTCCCTTGAAATGAACTAATGGATGGGTATTTCAGAAAACCAATGAGACTGATTATCGCACTGAAAGGGAACGCGTACAGGCTACTGCGTCGAGTCTTTTGGAGGATAAACGCAACCTAGAAGAAAAGGTGTGCACTCTGAATGATATTGTGGAGAAGCTACAGGGTGACTTGACTACCCTTCAAGGACTCAAAGCCAACGCCAGCAATGTGTCCTTTGAGTCCAATGCGTCCAGCACGTCGCCCTCTGCACCAAGAGTAAGCTTGAGATAAAACCATTTAAATGTAGAATCTAATGCCAAGCATTCAATATTGTGTAGAAATCGATAAGCTTTGAGTCCGACTGGCGTAAGAACCGACGGCTAAGCGTACACGATGAGCGTCGCAGGCAGTCTTACTGGAACAACGTGCGCGATTGGGGAACCATGACGGATCCCGTGGGTAAGTCAGAGATATTTTCAGAACATAAATCATGGAACCTGAATTAATAATGCTCACAATCTCAGACAATAACTGCAACTGTGTTGAGCTCAACCAAAAGCTGCAGGACTGCCAGCGAGACCTTTTTATACGGGAGAGCCAGGTGACAGCATTAAACATTGAGCTCAAAAACCATCCTCTGAAAGACGAGAATGCCCAGCTACAAAAACGACTATTGGAAGAACAGGAAAAAGCACGTGCCGAACTGAAGCGTCTTAAGCTGAAGAATCAAGATCTCACTATGAAGGTCAATGACATGACTGCAGCGGCATCAGCATCAGTCCAAGGCCAAGCATGCAGAATAACCCCTGCGATGATCTCGGTGGATACACAGACAGAGTCTGACTTGGAGAAGGTCCTGGAGAAGACAAACCTAAAGTATCAAGACGCACTTAAACTGTGCCGCTTCCGCTACTCTATGATCCAAGATTTGGAACAGAGACTAAAGCAAAACGAAAATTGCGACACCTCCAACCTGACCTCCCTTACAGCAGGCCAAATCAATGCGCTTAAGGTACGTATTGCTTTGCTTATTATTAACAAGAAATCATCCATCATACTATGCATCCTTCCAGACCCAATGTGAGGCGTACAAGAAGGAAATATCAGCCATGAACGAGAAATACGAGTACGCTAAACGAGTGCTCAAGATGCGCAAGGATGAGGTGGTTGAACTGCGCGCTAAAATCGCTGACTACGAGGCAGCCTCTACAGCCAAATAAGTCGCTATAACATCATAGTTTAGTTGTATATAACCTTTAGTTCTCTATGCCCGTACCAAGATCAAATCGTTTATTTCCAATTATTTATTCCATGTGAGAAGTCAAAACTTTCAATATTTTTCGGAGTATTTTAAATGTATTTATGTACTTGTCATTAAGTTTAGTGTTGCAAGGTGGACATGTATCGAATACACAGCTGCGCTGCCTACTGCATATTTCTGTACTAATCTAAATCTATACGGTCCTTTATAATTTAAGAATTCTAAAAGAATTCGTCTTTAATACCTCATTATTTGTGTACTTCTGTGCTGATGAAGCAACAGGCAATTGTGGACCTGTGGAATTACTTACTTTTATTAAAAAAAAAAAAAGATCTTTGCATCAAATGTACCTGAATCGAAGAAAGGAACCCCCAGCAAATGTGCAGATAGAACATATAGAAACACCATAAACATTGTTCTTCATAACGCGGCTTTATTGTAATTTCAATAAATATTTATAACTTTCTAAGCACATGGATGTCTACTTATATTGCTTATGTAACGACTTTTAACTAATTGCTTTTAAACTAAAGTCTTAACCGAATTGCATTAGCCTTGAATGCATTTCAAGCCTAGGGAAATGCGATCTATTGCACTCTCCCTGCGTCGAGAGAGACAAGAAAGGAGAAGTGTCTAACGAACCGAAAGCATAAAACGATCAGGGGATAAATCAAGAAATTAAACATACTCGCATGTACTTGGGCTCTTCTTTATTCATAACATTTTGTATAGGTATATTTTTTAGGTATTCTCCAATCTGTTGTTGTATCGTTACGTTAGGCTACGTTGGGGGTACGCCACTCTTAATTGAATGATTGAAATAAGACGGGCTACTTCAAATGAAATGCGACGGCCATTGCGAACTTACAAATAAATATCCAAGTAAATTACATTTAAATTAATTGAGGTAGAAAATTACTAAAGTAACACATATGTTGGTCATAAGGCAAGTGGTTGCGACTCTTGTAGAGTCTGTCTGTGCTCATCTTCGATTGAAACTAACCATAAACCTAGGATATAACTGAGGCATATTCGAACTAAATACATACAGGAAACGCAGCCACGGCCACGGCAACGGCAACGGGCACTACTTACGAGTAGTACTTACATCTATCTACGGGTATGTCTCTTGCTTGCAGTGCTTCCACATAAACTAACTAATTTCTAGTATTCCTTAAGTATCGTATGACTCTCTCTTCAAACGGCGGAGATACTGGTTCACCCCTGTTCGGTGTGGTGTGTGGTCTGATCGAGTGCTGAGTATGCTGAGGCTGAGGTATTTAATTCTCTGACAAATCCTATCCATTGTCTGGGTAAGTACAGTACAGGGTTTCTGTGTGTGTGTGTGTGTCTCTATGCTAAATGTGCACTGTATACCGTATAAGTAGTTGTATATAAATTAACATTCACTTTGTCACGTATGTATGTATATATTCTGATCCATTGCAGATCCTTAACCTATTCTGTTCAATATTGGCAAGTTTCCTGGGGCCCTGGAGTTTTCTATATATTGTATAAAGAGTACGGATATAGACAGGACGGGGACAGGACCAGTCACAACTCATGGAAGTCTAAGGTATTTCGAGGATTACACGCACACAGCACACAAAACTCATTCGTCTGCTGAGGTCTGCTGAGGTAGTTCGGTTGATGCTGGCTTTGTCCGCGAGATAGTGTTCCTGAGATATGGTAAGCACTGTGAATCAATGGAGTGGCTAGGCTAGACTTGGAACTTGGAAGGCTATTATCGTATGCTTATATCATAGGTAGGCATACTCGGATTCTAGCTGTGGCATGCATGGCACATCTGAATAAACATTTGAGTTCCTCTGTCGGATACTAACATACTTTAAATGCGACGGATCGGTTCTGAGGGATGGGGGCATAGGTGTTTTTGTATGTATTTACAGGCTGGTTCTTCGCTTTCAATGTGAAATCTATCTTACGACTAAAAGGGTACTCTAGGGGTTTAGCTTTCTCCTGTCAGGGCTCGTTTCGGGGATATCCATCCCCTTCATCAATTGTATACACAACAGGTACATGTGTATATTTATACATACATTATATAGTATATATGTATGGGTAGTTTAAAAGCACAACATTGAATTCTACTAGGCCAGCTCTGGCAGCGGCACAAATATGATTTTTCCTAGTCCTAGGTCCGTATCTCTATCGTATTGTATCGTATTTGTATCGTATTGTACACATAAACTGGTATACATGTGGATAAGGCTACTCGTTACATATGTTCCATGGGTATTCGGTATACAACTGTTGATGCAATGACACTCTGACACTCCTGCTGCTGCTCCCTTATGTGTTGTGCACGCCCTCGTCCTCGGAGTAGTTCTCCTCAACATCCGAGTTGGCCACCTCGTTGTTGCTGCCCGACTGATTGTTGTCCAGGCCCAGATCCATGGGCTCTGAGCCCTCTCTCCGCATCTCCCCATCATTGTCCGCATCGTCCAAGTCATGCCCGTGCATCCGGCCGCCAGAGTTCAGCGCCAGTGGGCCCTGGGCTGGATCCTGGTCGTGGCGCAGAATCGGTTCTATCGACAGGCCCGGTCCGCTCTGGCCAAAGGCGGGGTTACCGGCGGCCAGCTTGCTCAGATCGAATTGTCCGGGCAGCAGGCCAGGCGGCAGGTTCTCCAGACTGTGACCCATGGCATTCAGTTGCGCCATCTTGGCCCGCAGAGCCGCTGCTGCAGCCTGTTCCTGGGACATGCCCATGCCTGGAATGCGGAAAAAAGAAGATTCTTGTTAGAAAAGAGTCGCCTGATGGCAAGAGCTCTGCTCCAAAACTCACCGAACGTGTTCTCCGTGATGAACTGCAGGTAGGTGTCCAGCAGGGACTGGCCCGCAGCATTGCTGGTGGGGATCTGCACGCCCAGATCCTTGGGCTGGCCCAAAGCAGCCGCTGTGGCCGCTGCCGCGGCAGCCTCGTTTCGCATCCGCGAGATGGTGGTGTTGGCGTGCCCGAAGTTGCTCAGGAGACTCTCGTGGTAGCGACTGAGGTCGCTGTTGCTGCCACCCATGCCGTACAGGCCGTTGCCCACGGTCAGGTCCTCGGGGTCCTCGTCGGAGTCCTCGCCATCGTCCAGTGGTCCGCCGCTGGCGTTGCTCAGATCCAGCTTGGCCCCGCCACTGCCACCGCCGCCTCCTCCGCCACCACCACCGCCGCCGCTGCTGCCACTGCCGCCGGTGGGCGAGGCTCGGGCGCGCAGCTCAGCGGGCGATATCTTGACCCCGGCCTTGGCCAGGAGCCGCGAGGCGAGGTCCGGATCGAAGGGGCTGGGCATCGGCAGCACGGGCAGGTCCTTGGTGGAGATGCCCCGATGCTGGCGCGACATGTGCGAGTGCAGCGAGTTGCGGGACTTGGCCACAGTGCCGCACAGGACGCACCGGTAGCCGGGGCAGACGGTGTGCTTGTCCTCCAGATGGGTGCGCAGGGTGTGGGCCGAGCGGTAGATCTTGCCGCATTTCGGGCAGGGACGGGGATCGGTGGCACGGACGCGCATCTCCAGGGATCTTCGGGACACTGCAGAGAAGAAAATGGATGATGAATATTAGATGATTCGATTCACTCGGTAAGGGCTTCACTTAGAGTTCAATGAAAAGTCGGCTCGTCTTCGTTTGCTCTTTATTGTTCACCAAAATATATTTGCCATCTCCGAAAACACATCTTCTCATAGTCGGCCGCCTCCACACACCGCCACACATGTGGCAGATACTCGTACCAGATACATTTCATCATCCACACTCTCAAATAATTTGCAAACTAAAATGGCATACGAATCACATACCATCCGATCCGATCGGATCGGATCTGTGTGGTTTTCTCGTCTTTTTTCTATATGCTTTATAAACTACAATTGTAAAATTGTCCGCTTCGAAATGGAACTTATATGTTTAATCGAGCCTCAAAGTTGATCGATTTCTTGGGCTAGTTTTGCTCAAGTTTCGGTTTTTGGTTTTCGGTTTTAGTTTTTTTTTTTTGATTAACATTATAGGAACCTTTTTACGTATGTTTTCCATCTGCTCTTCTGTATTTAGTACTTAAAGCCGGCCGCCAATCGAATGGAATCAAATCAAAATCAAAATCAAACACAAAAGATATCCAAACAAATCATCCATCAATTTTGAACTTTTCTCTAATACAAATCCTTTACGTTTAGTTTTTCTTATTTCCTTCGTTTTTTTGTTGTTTGTTTTTGTTTGGCTAAAAATATATTATGCAGGCACATTCTATTTTGTTTCAGTATCAATATTCATAATAACTACTTCATCGTTTTTCATATATCGTATATATAATTTTGTGGTTTGCTTGGTTTTAGCTCATTATCTACATAGTTTCTCCAACCTCTCTATGGCTTAATACGTCTTAATATGTCTGCTTATGTAATTCTATCAATTAATATTATTATATTTCTGGTTGTGTGTGTTCTTTAATTGGGTTTTTTTTGGTATTGGTTTTAATCATAATACTGCACATATTTTACTGGAGTTTACTGGCGTTTTATTCTACACAATCTGGCCCTGTAAATCAATTCAAAGTTGTTTATTCAAGGGCAAACATATCAGAGCTTTAGTTGTCTGCATTTTTCATATATATATAGTACTATATTGAATATAGGAACGTAATAATTGTTGTAAGTATCCTAACCCAAAAGCGATCGATCGATCCTCCACTGTCGGCTAAGAGGCTTCTCTGGAATCTACAGTCCATCTAAAGCTCATCATCCTTCTGCTGTTTTTCCTTCCTTCGAGTGATTCCGAATTAGAATGGCAAATGGGTGACTACAAGGAGATTTAAACTGATTGAAACCATTCCATTATTATCCTCTGTTTCTGTTTCTGTTTCTTCAGACAAATTGAAACCTTCTAAAGATCATTCCTTTTGTCGAACAATGATCCCATAAGTGAATAGATTTTAAATGGAAACTGATTGAACGCCTTTTGGTGTGCTGGAAGAAGGAAGGAACTGCGGATGGCTGACTGTTTGGGCAGCGGCACTGAGCCCTGGGCCAGTAGTTGGCCTATAGGAAAGGACCCAGTGCGCTCGCAAATTAGTTACGGAATCAGTGGATGTCGACCGTCGCCTTTGACTTGCACTTGGACTACTTTTGGCTATCTACGATAGATGCGAGTGTGTCTCGAGATTGGGTGTTAGAGCTAGATTCGATTTATTGTCGCCATTGAGTGACTGAAAGCAGCAACCTAGAAAGCTTTACGGGGAGTACGAGTACGAGTACGGATACGGAGTATTACAGGGCTGGCGCCGCCTCGCAGTTTCATTTGAAGTCCGGGCCGCCGGCGAAGGGACCGCCCGACGAGCGCATGGCCTTCATCTTGGCCCACTGGAGGGTGTGCTTGATCCGCATGTGGTTCCGCACGGAGTTCGGATGGGCGAAGCGCCGTCCGCACTCGATCACCGGACACACGGGACTGTCGCGCGGGTAGTGCCGGTCCAGGTGCTGCCTGAAGACGCGCTGCTCCAGCGGCGTCTCGCACAACGGACAGGGCAGCATATAGTTGCTGCTGCTGCTGCTGTTTGGCCCGCTTCCCGCCGTGCTGGTGCCCGGCACTGGCCCGGGTCCGGGGCCGGGCACAGGTCCTGGTCCCGGTCCCAGTCCGGGTCCCTGTCCCTGTCCGGACCCATTGCCATTTCCCGGACTGACTGTGGCCGCCGAGGCGGCTGTGGCACTGGCTGCTGCTGCAGCAGCGGCTGCCACGGCCGCCGCCGAGGTGTTCTGGAAAAGTTCGGGAAAGTCCCGGGATCGGCTGAGGGCAATGGTGCGGGCCATGAACAGATTGGCGGTCAGCTGCTGCTGGTGCGACACGGACACGGACTGTTGCAGCTCGTCCAGATATTGCTGCTGCTGCTGTTGGTGTTGCTGCTGCTGCTGGGCTGCCTCGTGACGGGAGTGCTGGAGCTGCTGCTGCTGCTCCTGCTTCAGGAGCAGGGTCTGATAGAGGGTGGACTCGCTGGACTGCCGCGTCCGCTTCATGGTCAGCGATATGGCCGAGGAGGCCGACGACGAGCGGTCGTCCTCGTCGTCGTTGTTGGTGTGGTTGTTCTGGTTCTGGTTCAGGTTGCTGCCGGCATGGAGGAGGTTCTCCTCCGGATCGTGCTCCTCCTCGCTGTCGTTCCAGGACCGTGCCGAGGGCGTGGGCGAGGAGTTGGCCGAGCGGTTCCTTTTCCTCTTGTTGTGATTCGTATTGGAATTATTATTGTTGTTGTTGTTGTGGTTGTGGTGCTGGTGAGGATTGTGCTGGTGGTGGTGGTGCGTCGGATGGTGGTGCTGATGGTGCGACTGGTGGCTCCTCCGCTGCTCTGCGAACAGCTGCGACAGCTGCGGCCTCTGCATGATCTTCGCCAGCTTGCTGGCCCCCGGGCGACGGTCCGCGGCATGCGCCTCGTGCGGCTGCGGCTGTGGCTCCTCCTCCGCCTCCGGATCGACGGTCTCCTGCTTGATGCTGTTCTTGGCATTCAGGAATGTGCCTGCGATGGTCGACAGGTCGTTAGTGTCCAGCACGTGGGGGAGAAAGTCGGGAGGAAGTCAATGTGAAATCAAAAATCAGAAGCAAGCTAAAGGATATCTTTTTCTCTCAGTTCGATTTCTGCTCCTCCTTCAAATTTTGATGTACAGTGGTGGGAGGAGGACTGGGGAGGGGGAAAGAGTGTGTGTGTATCTGGGAGATAGATTCTTCGGCGGCAGCAGCAACAACAACAGAACAGCAGAACTGAATCAAACCTCCTCTACAGATTTCGTAATTCCAATTTTCTGGTGCCAATTTTCGAGAGATTTTTCAGGTTTTCAACATTTTCTTAGAGTGCCAATTCGTTATGGAAACATTCAGTTCTTACAGTTAGGATTGCCTGCGGCGGAACACACACACGGATCGTCGAGGTTTTAGCCAATTGTTTTTTCTTGATTGATTGATTGTTGGTTGATTGTTTGAGCCAATTACAGAAGGTTTATAGATATATCTTATGGAATATTAAAGTTTAAGTATGATATAACAGATATAGTACGAGGCAGGCAGGCAGGCAGGCAAAATAATTATTCAAATATAGTACAAAAGAGTGCAAATAATCTAGGAAAACAGAAATCATAGGTTTTATTCACAATCTATTTAATCGGTTTTGCAGTGAAACTCACAAATGGGGGACTCTTTTATCTGGGAGTAGTATTCAGCTCCATATAGTTCGTGTTTCTTAGAGCTAAAGGGAGTACAGTGCGTGGATAAAACTATAAGACCCAAAGACATGCATGGGAGATGGAAGTAGAAATACCAGTCAATATATAGAGTTCATTATTTATCGTTTATTGAATACAACCCATCGAAAATTCAAGGATATAGCTCCCTATACTATAAAGAACGCTTGGGATCGTTGTTTCCGATACTTTACTCATATCTGCGTGAGCAAGGACAGCGAGTGAGCCCGGGGTGAGCGCTCCAGTGTTGGTAAGCGAGTGTGCAGTGGATTTTCCCCCTAATAACCTAATATTATTCGATATCACCCCTAAAAAAACTCAAAATTCAAGAAGCTTAAGCAGTGATCGTTTAATCCTCAAATTTGTATCTACCCTATGCCGCTGAAACGCACTGTACGGGTATTAATGCGCCGCAAAAGTAGAATCCATGCAGAAAGGGTGGATTTGTGGAATGGTGGACTATTGGATGCATGGCAAGGAGTGGAGGAAGGGCCTGGCGTATCGCGTGCCACAGAACCATTGCCGGTTTGGACGGGACTATATTCCATATTCTATATATTCTATATGCGGCTGGTGTCTGTATAGTATAGCCATGTGGCGTGCAAGAACACACCTGGCCTCGAAAGCAGATCCATCTTGTGCACTGTGGCACTCTGGCACTCGCACTCCACGCTCCCATTTCCACTTCCACTTCCATTTCCATTCTGATTCCGTTTCAATATTCGATAATAATAAATATTGAAAAATAAAACGCAATTTAATGTATAGAAAATTGCCAAGGCCCAGGACCTAGACCAAGGCACAGCCCCTGCGGCCCCAAAAATATTGAGTCATTTTGTTGGATGGCCAGAGATTTGCATAGGCGGGGTGTTGGGTGTCCATGGGTGTTTATGGGTGTTTATGGGTGCGGGTCATGCATGACGCAAGGCGACCCCAAAAACTGAAATCAAATTAAACAATTTAGTTCTGGCTTTGTGCGTGACAACTCAAGGGAGAAGGCAAACCAAACAATTCCGATGCATAAATATATATCAAGTGAAAAATACAATAAAATGCAATCGAATAAAATTGAAAATACAATATGCAATAGGGCCCTCCCTCCCTCCGCCTCTACTGAGTCCTGTCCATCCATTGCCATGTGTATAGCCGGCTCTGTCTTTCGCACGGGGTTTCGGATATAGTTAGATGCACATAAAACATGCATGGTCGCATCACAGTTTTCTTCAGTGAGCATCCTGAGGTCCTCGTCGATTGGCCGAAACTCAAGTGCAGTGGATGGGACAGGACACGACAGCCCAGGACAGTAGTAGGGCTAGGA